CATGCCAGACTAATCTTCTCTCTTTTTTTGATAGTTACAAACCTGGTAGATGCAGGGAATGCTGTGGATGTAGCATATCTTGATTTCAGGAAGGCCTTTAATGACCTACTTGCAAACAAACTATAGCCAATTTTTAAAATTATTTTATTGTGTTAGAAGCAAGTTGAGAAACTGCAAGTTACTTCTGGTGTGAGATGTTGCCCAGGGGATGTCTGTGAGAAGTTTCTCTCATGTCCCCACATGGGAAGCTGGAGCAGACACACAGGAGCTCACCCCATCTCGCGGATTCAAACCGCCGACTTTCAGATCAGCAGTTCAGCCAGCCCAGGGGTTTAACTCGTTGTGCCATCGTGGCTCATAACTAGTCAAATGTGTACCTGTCCGAACGTATCTCCTGCTATGAACCATCACAAAGCTTAAGATCATCAGCTCTCGATCCCACCACTCTCGCAAACGCGGTTGGTGGGGACGAGAGACAGGGCCTTCTTGGCAGTGGCCCCCCATCTGTGGAACTCTCTCCCTAAGGATATCAGGTTGGCCACCTCCTTCCTGTCCTTTAGAAAACAACTGAAGACCTGGCTCTGGGGCCAGGCGTTCGATTAGAGGCCAGCAGCAATAGGAAAAGGAAATTTGGATTTTTGCAACATGGATTCTCCCGGCTTGGTTTTACTGGCACGTTAATCTATTAATTTATTGTTAAATTTTATTGGTGATGTACAATGTTTTAAAATGATTTTATTGTAAGTTGTAGTTTTTATGGTATTTATGTTGTTAGCATCCTCTGATGCTCATGTGAGGCCGCGCTGAGTCCCCCTTGTGGGGAGAAGGGCGGGATATAAATATATGAAATAAATAAATAAATAAATAATAGGCAATGCTACTATTAAGTGGATCTGTAATTGGTTAAGCAACAAAACCCAAAGGGTGCTCACCAATGGTTCCTCTTCATCCTGGAAAGAAGTGACTAGTGGAGTGCCACAGGGTTCGGTCCTGGGCCCAGTCCTGTTCAACATCTTTATTAATGACTTGGATGGTTTAGAGGACGTGCTTATTAAGTTTGCAGATGACACCAAATTAGGAGGGATAGCTAATACTCCAGAGGACAGGATCAGAGTTCAAAATGACCTTAAGAAATTAAAGAGCCGATTGGCCAAAACTAACAAAATTCATTTCAACAAGGACAAATGTAAGATACTACACTTAGGCTGAAAAAAGGAAATCCAAAGATACTGAATGGGTGGCACCTGGCTCTACAACAGTTCATGTGAAAAAGATCTTGAAGTCTTTGTGGACAACAAGTTGAACATGAGCCTACAGTGTGATGCGGCATCTAAAAAAGCCAATGGGATTTTGGGCTGCATCAAAAGTGTCTAGATCGAGGAGAGTCTTGACGCCTCTCTATTCAGCTTTGGTCAGACCTCACCTGGAATATTGTGTCCAATTCTGGGCACCACCGTTTAAAAAGAGATATTGACAAACTGGAAGGTTGTTGTAGGTTTTTCGGGCTATATGGCCATGTTCTAGAAACATTCTCTCCTGACATTTCGCCTGCAACTATAGCAAGCATCATCAGAGGTTGTGAGGACTGAACTCACAAAACTGGAAGGTGTCCAGAGGAGGTCAACTAAAATGATCAAAGGAGACCATGCCCTATAAGGAGCATCTTAAAGAGCTGGGTAAGTTTAGCCTGCAGAAGAGAAGGTTGAGGGGAGACATAATAAGCCATGTGAAAGGGTGTCGTAAGGAAGAGGGTGCAGGCTTGTTTTCTGCTGCCCTGGAAACTAGGACTCGGAGCAATTGTTTTTCTTATAGGAAAGGAGCTTCCACCTGAACATTAGCAAGAACTTCTTGACTGCAGGAAGAGCTGTTCAGCAGTGGAACTCTCTGCCTTGGAGTCTGGTGGAAGCTCCTTCCTTGGAAGCTTTTAAACAGAGACAAGAAGGCCATTTGTAGGGTGTGCTTTAATTGTGCTTTTCCTGCATGGCAGGGGGGTTGGACTAGATGGCCCATGGGGTCTCTTCCAACTCTATGAGTCTATGTTCAGGTTGAATCTTTTTCCCTGCAGCTTGAATCCATGGCTCCATTGTGTCCCGGTTTCTGGAGCAGCAGAAAAACAAGCCTGTACCCTTCTCAATGGGACCTCCTTTCTTTCCAATATTTAAACCCAGCTGTCAGCCTTCATTTCCCTGTGATTGCTGGCTCCTCTAGAAGAGCCCCGCCGCCCAGAAGGGAAAGGGCATCAACATTAGCCCAAGGGAGCTGGAGTAGCCCTCCCTGGGACCTATCGGTGGCCCAGATATGTCCAAACAAAGTTGACAGCTGGCTCTGGCTGTTCCAGTGATGGACACAGAGATTGAAGGATACACTGTTCAAAGACTGCGTAGATCAGTTTAATACAAAAGCTCCCTAGGAAACATAATGTGCTTTCTAATGCCGCAATGCGGCTATTGTGTCATGGCTACTAGTTCTTTCTCAATCAAGCCACATCTTGGAACCAAGGCAACCTTGGTCTTGCCTCTGTGTCAAAATACTGGCAGAGCTAATACTTTCTGAAAATACAAAATGCTGCATATAAAATTACAAAATACTGTCGCTGACTTCACATTGCGGCTCCTTCCCGCAGGAGGAACTGCCGGATGAACTGCTGGGCCTGGCGCTTCTCCGCGATACCAGGCTTGGGGTGCCCAGGAGGGGGGCGCAGCAGGAGGCCCCCAAAGAGGCTGGCTGCAAGGCAAAGAAAGGGAGGAAGGAAAGACGTCAGTCTACAGAAACCAAAAAAGTAATGCAGGGAGATCATCCCAAGGGGGTCTTCCTCATCCAGAGCCATGGCCCTGGCATTGAGAGACCAAACACTTTTGTTCCTTTACCCAGAATATTCACGTCCAAGTGGTTTTTCACAGAATGTCGGAGCAGCTCCCGCAGGAAAGCCATCAGGTAACTGAGGACATTCCTGTGGCACCTGGGCAGAATGGACACCACCTGGGAGGAAGAGGAAAGGGCAGGGAGCTATTGTGCACCAATGTGGGATGTACAATGCTAACATTGTGCTATGCTAATAATATAATATATTGTATATACATATAATAGTGATAATAATATTATAATGTAATACAATGCAATACTACTAATAATACAATATAATAGTATTATAGGTTGAGCACAGCTGGTACATTGCCAGCAACTATAAGATCTGTCAACCAAAAGGTTGCAAGTTCAAAGCCCTGGGTTGGCGTGAGCGGCTGACTGTCAGCCCTACTCACTGTTTACCTAAGCAGTCAAAAACAGCTTTAGCTGTAATTAGAGAAATTAGGTACCGCTAAAAGCGGGGGAGGTGTTTTACGACACCATACAGAAAGAAGATCAGAAAATGCTGGGTGACGAAAAGGAAGGAGGAAGTCCTGATGGCTCTTCATCATAGAGGATGGAGCGACAGCACCCCCTGTGGCTGGACTCGAGCCCAAGCTTCCACGGCACCAGAATAGCTGGACACCGAGTCGAAACAGCACACTTCCTTTCTGTTCTGTCTGTCTGTGTATTGTCTATACAAAGCGGCATTTAATGTTTGCTGTGTATGTGTACTGTGATCCACCCTGAGTCCCCTTCAGGTTGAGAAGGGCAGAATATAAATAAAGTGTTATTATTATTATTATTATATAAAAATTATATATTATATATTACATGTAATATTATTAATAATATTGGATTAGAGTGGTATAATACAATATATTAATATATAATATGCTAATAATATAATATAATATATTGTATGTACACCTTCAGGGTGAGAGAGGCCGGGGTATAAAAATAGTAAACAAATAAATATCCCTGCTGTCTCAGAAACAGCCATGCACATGTTACCCAGGCTTGACCCTGGCCCCAGGGCCCTCTGCCTCACCTGCGTGCTCAGGATGTAGCTGTCAGCACATTCTAGGCAACTGCTGTAGAGGCTGGAGCAGATGACTGGCTCAGGGAGGCTCTCCAGAAACAGGAGCAGCGCTTCAGCCACAGAATGATTGCTGCCCACTGGCCGGCAAAAATTAAGGAAAAGACGTGGAGGGCCCAGATGGAAAGTGTGGCACAAAGGGGGGGGGGGGCTCTTAGGACAGTCCCACAGCTCTGGCACCGCCCACAAAGGATACCCAGCGTGTCCATCATCCCCGTGTCCAAGCAATCACGAATCTGTTCAAATTCAGACCGCATACCTGGCTGCTGGAACAGGTCTTCCTGCAAAGAAAGTGGGAGAGACATCACAATGCTAGACCATGATAAGGAGGAGGGAACAGGACTGCTAGGAACACATCTCCTCAGTGCTATCCAGAAATGCAACTCAAGCGTCTTCTGCTGCTTCCCCATGTATCCCTCATACTCTCTTGCAGAGGAAAAGGACAGCACAAACCAAGCTTTAGGGTTGAAGCTCCACAGAAAGACTCTCTGACTTATGTCTATTTCATTCCCATGAACTTCATAGCTACATTCAGCCTTTTCCTTATTGGGGTTATAAATCCTGTTGCCTATGGCCTTTGTAATTATTATTATTATTATTATTATTATTATTATTATTATTTTACTGACACAAAAACACAGTATGTCACAGCAAATGAGATCTATATGCTGGATTTCGTATCACAAAATCACAAGTCGAACACTTCCCAACTGTCTAGGATTGTGTGATGTATTTCTGGAAGATGCGCGCAGATCCAAGTAAGGTGGCCTTTTGCAGTTGACAGATCGTGATTTTGTCAATGTTTATTGTTTCCAAATGCCGGCTGAGATCTTTTGGCACGGCACCCAGTGTGCCGATGACCACTGGGACCACCTCTACTGGTTTATGCCAGAGGCCTTTGCAGTTCAATTTTGAGGTCCTGATAACGGCTGAGTTTTTCCTGTTGTTTTTCCTCAATGCAACTGTCACCTGGTATGGCGACATCAAACTTTTTTCTTTTTCACAATCATGATGTCTGGTGTATTGTGTTCCAAAACATTGTCAGTCTGGATTTGAAAGTCCCACAGTATTTTTGCATGTTCATTTTCCACTACCTTTGCAGGTTTATGATCCCACAAATTTTTTACAGTTGGTAGGTGGTACTTGTGACATAAGTTCCAGTTAATCATTTGGGCCACAGAGTTGTGCCTTTGTTTGTAGCCTGTCTGTGTGATTTTCTTGCAACAGCTGAGGATATGGTCCCTGGTTTCATCAGCTTCCTTGCACAGTCTGCATTTTGTATCATCAGCTAATTTTTCAATCCTGACCTTAATTGCATCTGTTCTGATTATGCAAAGGCTCTGGCATAAACCAGTGCAGGTGGCCCCAGTGGTAATCAGCACACTGGGTGCCAAAGATCTCAGCCAGCATTTGGAAACAATAAACATTGACAAAATCACGATCTGTCAACTGCAAAAGGCTACCTTACTTGGATCTGTGCGCATCATTTGAAAACACATCACACAGTTCTAGATGCTTGGGAAGTGTTCAACTTGTGATTTTGTGAGACGAAATCCAGCATATATATTTCATTTGCTGTGACATACTGTGTTTTTGTGTCAGTAAAATAATGATGATGATGATGATGATGATGATGATGATGATGATGATGATAATACTTTATTTCTATACCACCCTCTCTCCCCGAGGGGACTCAGGGCGGCTTACATATAAGAAAGCAGACATTCGATGCCTAAGTGAGTACAAAACTTATCAAAAACATATCAAAATACAAGATAGAGCACAATGATAACAGTGAGTTTACCACAAAGGACTAAGCATTGATATAAAAATATAACAGAATAGTAAGACATAATTAACTAAACCATAAAAAACATGATGACAAATGCCCTCAAAACAGTTTGACGTTTTGTAGGCTTTGGTGCTGAAGGTACCTTTAAAATTCAAAGAGATAAATAACTAAAGGCCAAGCCTGATGGAAAGGGTGCCTTCCTCCCAAGAAGAGGACAGGAGGGAGCATGGTTCAGACCTGTTGGGAGGCATGGCGATAGAGGTAGTCCACCATCATCCACAGCTCTTTAGGGATGTCCAGGGGCTTCTCGTCCCAAAAAGTCTCACTGTTTATTGATGTCAATGGCCGCAGGCTCTGAACAAAAAAGTGACACCACACTCAAGGTGGAACACAGCTTAGCGCAAAGCAGCCAAACATGGAGCCCGTCTGTCGGGAGGCACTCACCAGCTTACGGATGGTGTCTGGTGGCATCTCTTGGATGGGCTGTCTCATGAAGGTGAGCGCTTGCAGCGAGGTGCCGAAGCAGCTGGGCAGGTAGTTCCCCAAAACAGACATGAAGTAATCCTTACCCCGATCAAGATGAAGCACCAAGATGTCCTCCAGCCGATCTTCCCCAGAGTTCAAGGCCGGGGCTGTCGATTTATTCACAAAGAGCTCCAACTCAACCGTCACCTCAGAGTCTTTGCAGGAAAAAGACAGACAGACAGATAGGCATTGTGGCGACACCTAGTTAAGATGGAAATAACAATTGAAGTAGGCCTCAGTGATGGAGATCTATGGCCAACTCTGTAATGGGTGGATGGGATGGAAGCAAGGAGAGCTTTGCACAAAGACGCAGACTCCCAAGCAGAGGGTCTCATCTTGGGCCATGTATTGTTAGCCCAGCCTCAGCCCCTACTGGAAACTGGGGAAGGAATGCCCAACTGTCCCAGGGGCAAATCACCTGGCAAGAGGAAGCCCTTGTTGGGGTTTGCCGTTAACCATGGCTTGCAAAAGCTATCTTCATCTGGCTTGTTGATGAATGCAAACTGACAGGGAACAGGCCCATTGTGGATGGAGAAGGTCTGCACCTGGAGCTGCATGTACTTCACGTCCCTGAAAAAGAACTGGGGGCATTTGGTTGGGGAGAGGGAAAAGGGTGGAAGGAGAGGAAGCCAGGGGTCCATTTTCTTCATCTTAGTTTACCATCAAATACCAGGCACCCATTTTGTCCCCACCTTTGGACCAGCAAGTAACAAGGTGGCAGTAGGCTTTGCTGATCAAGAACAAGAGCCCTGCTGCCTACTAAAACTGGCTTGGATCCTTGGATAGGAGGCTTGCTGTGCTAATCATACCCCATGAGTGACACAGAGCCCACCCTAGACCCCTCAGGACATTAGTGTCTTCAAGGAGAAGACATTTCCCATCATTGCTTTCTTACCTCCCTTTTGGAGAGGGTGACAGAGGGGATGCTTTCATTCTCCATCTTATCCAAGGAGCGCACAATGTCCTCAAAAACTTGTCGATACAGCTCCTCATCCACCACCTTCACCTGGAGGGAGAAAACTACATCACTAAGGGGGGCTCCTTTGCTGAAATTGGGGGGGGCACTGTCAGGTGGCAAGGGGGGGCTGAGCACCTCCCACTAACAGAGGATCCAGGCCACCCTCTCCACTCCCCAGCATTTAGGGCCTTTTCTATCAGGAGGGCACGGAGAAGCACTGTGTGGGATGAGGGTCGCCCATCCTCCTGCCTCCTCCAGCCTTGTGAACAGAAAAGGTCCTTACACCAACATCAAAGCAGGCACTGACAGGCTTGTGGTCACTGATCTTCAGGGCCGAGTGGCTTCGGTAGCTCAGCTGGGAGACACTCTTCCCTTTGAAGAGGATCCGGTCGCACCAGGCGGGGACACGGCACTTCTCACTGCAGTGCAAGCAAAGCAGGGGCAGGTTGGGGGCAGCCAGGATAGAGATGGAGGGCAAAGGACTGCAGAGTGGCCTACCTGGTATCCCAGTCGTCAGAGCCTGGGTTGTACTTGTATGTGGGCTGGAAGGTAATCTCTCCCTCTGTGAAACCTTCAAAGACCACCTTCGCCTCCATTTGACGCTTCAACTTGGAATCAGGGAAACAAAGAGATGATGATGAGCAACCTTCAGTAACTGGCGGGAGCCCCCAGTGGTGCAATGGGTTAAACCCTTGTGCTAGCAGGACTGCTGACCAAAAGGTCGGCTGTTCAAATCTGGGGAGCGGGTGAGCTCCTGTCTTTCAGCTCCAGTTTCTCATGCGGGGACATGAGAGGAGCCTTCCACAGGATGGTAAAACATGCTGGCCAGTCAGACCAGAAGCGAGTTTCTCAAGTTGCTCCTGACACAAAAAATGTGACTGGCAGACCCAGTCAAGCCCCCCGCCCCCACCCCCCGCTCATCTCCCTCGGCCATGAGTCCAGGCTCCTTGTCCTCCTCCCTCCTGGTCCTTCAGGTCAGTCTTCCCCACTTGGGGAATACCAGCAGCATGAAGGCATCACTCCAGGCCCAGAACCCCAATCACTGCAGACGTACATTGCTTTCAGTCCTGGAAATTATGCATGCACCGGAATAACAGCAATTGTTTCAGGAAAAATAATGCAAGAATGTGTTGTTGTTGATATTGTTATTGTTATTTCACAGTAGCCAGCTACAAAATCAAATGCTCCCATTATATCACTGGCCCTCCTATGGGTCTCACACAAAGGAAGGGAGGGGCAGAGGGGAAAAGAGGCTTTGCCTACTGCAAATGGTGGGTGGGTGGGTAAGGAGTGCACATGCACACACAAAGTCGAGGCTGATGTACAGTTGAGTGGGCATGGAAGTTTCTCTACCTGAGCCCTCTGCCCTGCATGGGTGGAGCGGTGCCTCAAGTCAGTAGCTAAGTCTGGTGGGCAGCATGGCATAGTGGGCATGGCTGGAATCCCTGAGTCCCTCCAGGCTGTCTAGTTGGTCTTGTGCTGGACAAAGTGGGAGCTTTTGCAGGAGTGCAGTGAGGAAAGAGGATCTATATGTCTCACTGAGCTTCAGACTGAAAGTAAATTTCAAGGGATGTGTACTAGTTTAGACTTGTTGGGAAATCTGAGCTGTTAGGCTCAAAAGTAACCCTCAGTTGGGGTGATTCTGCCACAAATATAGAAGTAAGTGTCATAATCAGCAGAAACTTATATGTGGTGAAACTGGGATAAACTTCTATTCTTAGGATGGCACAGGATTGCAGAGTCAGAACTTTAGATTCAAAAATATTTATTGAAGTAGAAGACATACAGTCTGGGTAGAAAAGGTATTGGAGCTAACTAGCTTATTAAACCTCATCTAAGAAAGGTAAAAGGATTTTTAAAAAATCCATGCAGCTATATTTTGCCTAAAGAGAAAGGCAAAATGCGTCCTCACTGGAAGGAAGAAAAGGCAGAAGAGACAATGGTGGACCACATGGTCAACCCAGGGCAATTTTGTATCAACAAAAGAGGAGGGGGGAAGACAGTGGCTAGCAGGAGGAGTGAAAACAAAGCCCTTTTGGGAAACATGCATGGTAAATGGAGAAGGAATCCCTCAACCAAATGTTATCTCTAGTCTAGCTACTCATTGAGGTCTGGAAACCTGATGACACAAGAGACTTGTGCAGTCCAGGGATGAAACCCAACAAGACTGAACTAACCCCCCCCCCCTCCCCTTGAAATGCCAAAGGCGAGGAGAGAAAGAGCTATGCCAGATTTTGTAACCCCACCAACCTGCCTTCTTCTCTGCAGCCTTCCTTAAAAACTAAGCAAACTTACTGATAGGACTGTTTAATACCCTCCTGCAAAACACACACACCAAACTCAGCAAGCCCTGAAGCCACACAGAAATCACAGTGGGTGCAACTGCTGCTCCTTTCAGCCTGCTGAAGACCAGTGGGAGGCAGGACCCACAAGTGCCCCCCACCCAAATGGAGCTATCCCACTGCCTGTCCACTGGCCTCCAGCCCAGGAAGGCTGCCGCCCCTCGGCGTGCACTCACCTGGTCATGTTGCTGAAGGCTGCTGAAGTCCCTGGCTTCCACAAGCTTCTTGACCCGCTCCACGTCCTGCTCCTCCAGCCTGTAGTTTAGGTCCCCAAGCCACAAGACCACACTGCAAAGCAGGCAAGAAGACCACCGGTGGGCCACACTGCCAGGCAGGAGCCAGCCCTGAGCCCAGTGCCACGCAGGGCCTCCCCTCCCATATTCCCCCGCCCGCCTCTCACTCATGCTTGGCGATGGTGAGGGCAGGGAGTCCAGATTCCAGTTGCCCGAAGAGCATGCGGGCACCAATGTCACGGAAGTCCTGGTTGCGCCTCTCACACTCTTCTGCGTGGGCAGCCAGGTGGGCATTGACTAGGCAGATGGAGGTGTTGTGGAGCTTGAAGCGGATGCCTACCCCGCCCTTGTTGCCCTGTGAGGGAGGGAAGGAGGGGAGACTGAGAGGGGAAGGCAGCCCTCCTCACATTTTATTTATTTATTTACTGCATTTATAAACCGCTTTTCTCACCCCTGAGGGGACTCAAAGTGGTATTTGTAAAGATCAAAAGACATGGATGTTCCACTGTGCATTTGATTAGAAGGTTTCCCCAGAAATGTTTGGCTCCCAGTTATGACCCAATTTTCAATCTCTGCACTTTACTACTGCCCCCTGCTTAGAGATGTAGTGCTCCACCTTATACTGCCCATTACCCCCAATTTTTGTCTTGCACTTTATCTGTCAACCGTTTCACACAACTGGTTGTACTGGCCCCTCACCCATTCCCAGTACTGCATTATTATCTCAGGTTACTGGTTGTCTGTTTGATAGTTGTTTTATATTGTGGCATGCCATTGTTGTTTTATTTTGCTTGTTGTTGTTTTTATAAATTTTAATGTGTTATTTAAACTATGTTTGAATAGGCTTGTCCTCATGTAAGTCACCTCAATTCTCTTCGGGGAGGTGGAGGCGAGGTACAAAAATGAAGTTGTTATTATTATTATTATTATTATTATTATTATTATTATTATTATTTGAAACACAACAAGATCAGTACACAGCAAACAAGATACTATGCTGACTGTTGTATTGGATCACATGTCAGACACTTCCCAAGTGTCTTGGACTGTGTGATGTATTGGCGAATAATGCGTGCAGATCCCAGTAAGGGTGGCCTTTTGCAGCTGACAGATGGTAATTTTGTCAGAGCCAATTGTGTTTAAGTGCAGGCCAAGGTCTTTAGGCATGGCGCCCAGTGTGCCAATCACCACTGGGACCACCTTGACTGGCTTGTGCTAGAGATTATTATTATTATTATTATTATTATTATTATTATTATTATTATGGCAAGATCCAATGCCAACATATATACGAAACCGAAGCATAATAACTAAAATGATAACATATAACATAAATTAAACCTTGAAATCATGTTAAACATAGAAAATAAACAGACATTTAAAATTAAAATATAGAATTAAAAATATCTTAATATAGCATTAAAATCACAAAATCCCCTCCAAGAGACACCAAGAACTATGGGGCACCAAGGCAGAGGAGCCAACCCTGAGTCCTGCGCTGGAAGGACAGGCAACCAAAACCTGGTACTCTCCCAGGCCCTGAAGGATTGGGGTTCCCATTCAGTCACATCCAACCAATGGAAATGCGGAGTCCCTCTGAATGAGAGCTACTCCTGTAAAGTCCTGAGGAGAAAGGGCCATTGCCCTGTTGTGGGGACACAATCTGCCATGGATCCCTCCCAGACGGCCATGGCAGGACCCCTTCCATTGGGTCTCCCTCCCTGCCCCTCTCCAGCCTAGTGTAGAAGGTGCCACTTGCGGAGGGGGCTGCTCACCATCCTCCCCATGATGCCAGTGCCAACCGTCTCTGCCTCCACTTCAGAGATGTTCGCCGCAAGCTCCGTCCTCACATATAGCAGTAATAGGATCCCCACCAGGCGCACCAGTTTGATCTGTTTTGCAAAAGCACAGCACACATATGCAGACAGCAGGCCAATGCTGGGAGGGGGAGGGCATTTCCAAGCAGGGGGATACTGAGCATAGCCTTTTCCTCACATGTCCCCACTCCCTCCACTTCCAAGGAACCAGCCCCTGCCCGGCTGACCTTGGCGTACTTTGCCCCTGGATGAAGGCTCTCTGTCACAGCTCTGAACCACTCCTCCTCTTTCGGGGTGTCGTTGAAGAAAAAGGCTTCCTTGCTCAGGTCCAGCTCCTGGAAGCTGTGCCCCAAAGGGGTCAGAGGGAGCCCTGCCACCCAGCCACCTCCCTCACTGCCCAGGGCGGAATGAGAGGCTGAGGCCTTGGCCTCCCTCAGGCGGGTTTGGGAGGCTAGGTCGAGGGCTAACGTACCCCACACAGTAAACATCAGGGGGGTTGGGGTCTTGACTCAGCCAGTGCTGGAGGCTCTCTCTGGGCGACTGGCCATTCACGTTGTAGGAGCCGACAAAAAACCTGTGGGGGGACACAGAAAGAGAGGTGCACTGAGGCTGCCTTGGGATCTCCCCAGGCCCCCACCTCACCCTTCCAGGTGGGAGCTGCCCCATATTCACCTGTAGCTCTGGAGGTGGGTGTAGGCCTCCTCCCTCTGCAGGAGTTGGGAGCGGATGAGGGTCTCTCTCAGCCCAAAGGCCTGGACGGGGGCCCCCTGCACCGCCTCCTGCACCAGCACCTGAGAGGAGCGCACCATGGCGCCTGTCACCTCACTCCTGGGGTTGGTGGGCCTGGAAAGGAGGAGGAGGAAGAAGAGGCAAGGGAGATGTCTCTACAAAGATGCACCCAATGGGTCCAAATCCCTTGGCTTGTGTAGTCCTAACCATTGGTCGTATTGAATCTTGTCTGATGGAGTTATAATTGCAATTAGTTTAAATTTTTATTCTTGTGTTCTAGGAAGACTTTCGTGTTTTATGATGCTTTTATTTTAATCTGTTTGTATGATTTTCTTCTTGGCAATTGAATGTTTTGCCTTATATGTTGGAAACCGCCCTGAGTCCCTTTGGAGAGATAGAGCGGTATATAAATAAAGTTTTATTATTTTATTATTAATATTATTATTGTGCCCTCCCCACTGCAATGCTCCCAATGGGACTCTTAAATTGAAGCCTGAGCTCTGCTCTGCCAGGAGCATTAGCCCAGCTCACTTCACAGGCCTCCATCCTCCTGCCTATGCTAAGGAAGAAGAAACCAACACTCTCCCAGATGTGGGTCTCATTCCCCCCCCCGCATCCTCCCCCACCCAAATGAAAGCCCCCTTGCAAGGTTGCTGTGGAAAGGGGGACAATGTTATCTGGGGATTGCCAGATGCCAGGCGTGGGATGCCAGCAGTGCCACGAATTCATCCCCAATGTTAATCCCAGCATCTCAGGAACCCTCCTTCTGCTGAACTCAGTCATGATCAGGACCTTGGAGAGTGCCCCCTTTGCCCTCCAAATGGAAGCCCCAACCCACTGGAGAGGGTCTTACAAGGGAGGCCCTTGTGGTAGAGAGCAGAGGCTGAAGGGCCCATCTTCAGAGAGGAAGAGGAAGGGGGAGCATGGAATCATAAAATCATAGAATTGGAAGGCTTAGGCGATCCCTCGTTGGATGAGTAAGATGGTCTTCCTTGATGACTATTTTTGTGGGTTTGTAGGTGGCTGTGGAGCCCTATTCTTGACCCGCATCTTCTCCCACAGTGAAGGCATTGGTTTCCAGGTGGAAGGCGGTCCCGGTCAGGGTTGGCTTGACGCGCCTTCCTCTTGGCACGTTTCTCTCTTTCACCCTCCATTCGTGCCTCCTCAAATTCTGCAGCACTGCTGGTCACAGCTGACCTCCAGCTGGAGCTCAAGGGCCAGGGCTTCCCAGTTCTCAGTGTCTATGCCAGAGTTTTTAAGGTTGGCTTTGAGCCCATCTTTAAATCTTTTTTCCTTCCACCAACATTCCGTTTTCCGTTCTTAAGTTCAGAGTAGAGCAACTGCTTTGGGAGACGGTGGTCAGGCATCCGGACAACGTGGCCGGCCCAGCGGAGTTGATGGCAGAGGGCTATCGCTTCAATGCTGGTGGTCTTTGCTTCTTCCAGCACGCTGACGTTTGTCCGCTTGTCTTCCCAAGATATTTGCAGGATTTTCTGGAGGCAGCGCTGATGGAATCGTTCCAGGGGTTGCATGTGACGTCTGTAGACAGTCCATTTCGCAGGCATAGAGCAGGGTTGGGAGGACAATAGCTTTATAGACAAGCACCTTGGTATCCCTACGGATGTCCCGGTCCTCAAACACTCTCTGCTTCATTCGGGAAAATGCTGCACTCGCAGAGCTCAGGCGGTGTTGTATTTCGGTGTCGATGTTGACTTTGGTGGAGAGGTGGCTGCCAAGGTAGCGGAAATGGTCAACATTTTCTAATGTTACACCATTAAGTTGTATCTCTGGCATTGGGGAGGGGATGGCTGGTGACTGCTGGAATAGCACTTTGGTTTTCTCGATGTTCAGTGACAGGCCAAGCTTCGTGTATGCTTCTGCGAAGGTGTTTAGAGTGGCTTGTAGATCTTCTTCTGAATGCGCACAGACGACATTGTCATCAGCATACTGGAGTTCTATAACAGATGTTGTTGTAACCTTGGTTTTGGCTTTCAGTCTGCTGAGGTTAAAGCTTGCCATCTGTCCGATAGATGATTTCCACTCCGGTGGGAAGCTTCCCATCAACAAGGGAAGTATCATAGCGATGAAGATGGAGAATAAAGTTGGGGCAATAACACATCCCTGTTTGACACCTGATTCCACCTTAAATGGGTCACTTTGGGAGCCATTGCTGTCCAAGACTGTTGCCATCATGTCATCATGGAGGAGCCGCAGGATGTTCACAAATTTGCTTGGGCACCCGATTTTTTGGAGGATGGTCCAGAGAGCGCTGCGGTTCACTGTGTCAAATGCCTTTGCAAGGTCGATGAATGCCATGTACAGAGGTTGGTTTTGTTCTCTGCATTTTTCTTGGAGCTGTCGTGCAGTGAAAATCATGTCCACAGTTCCTCTGGAAGGGCAGAAGCCGTTCTGGGATTCTGAATCCCAGAATTGGAAGAGACCACATTGGCCGTCGAGTCTAACCCTGCCATGCAGGAAATATACAATGAAATCACCGCCTACAGGTGGCCATCCAGCCTCTATTTAAAAGCTTTCAAGGAAGGAGCCTCCACTACACTCCAAGGCAGAGAATTCTACTGCTGAACAGCTCTTCTTATGATTCCACCTGAACCTAATGTTCAGGTGGAATCTCTTTTTTGCCAGAGGCATGGCAGAAGCCTCTCTTCCTCCCTCTTCCCTCAAACCAATGCTGCTCTCTCAGGAGGGGGCCTGTCTCTGGGATCCCCTCACAAAGCCCTTTGCCCTGCTCAGGGAATGAGGGAGGGAGGGGGGCTCACTCCCCCGGTCACTCACCTGGGAGCAGCTGCTGGCGCCACCTTGGCCTTAGCCTTGGCCTCTTCAGGGGTACCCTCTGGAACACTGGGGAGTGAGGGCAGCAGGGGCCTCCCCTTCCAAGCGGGGTCTTCATCCCCAGAAAGCCCTAGGAGCACAGCATGGAGAGGGAGGGATTTGTGGGGGGCTTGGGAGGCCCCTTCCCAGGTCTGCTCTGGGATAAGCCCTTGGCCTACCTTTCGGCCTACCTGCCACTCCTCCACCTCCTCCTCTGGGGCATCGCCTGCGGACCTGGGCCAGGAAGCTTTGGGTCTGGGAACCAAAGGGCAACCGGAGGAGCAGTGCCGGGGCCTCTCTCGTGTGGAGCAGCACCACCACGTCCGAGCCTGAGGAGAAAGAAGATGAAGAATCCTAGAAATATTCAAGACATCTTACTAGTTGCTCTGCTTCCCACAAACAAGCGTGTTCTGTCCTCCCTGAGCAATAGCAGGAATAGATAGATCTTAGGCTACTAAAGACAAAACCAACAAAACCTGAAATTGAATCTTTTCCCTGTCCCTTAACATGGCATTGTTAATGGCAGTGGAAAGCAGGACTAATTACATTTGACAGTGATGGTTTATACAAAATACATTATCTATCCTCGTTTACAGTCTCAAGAACCAATCAGAGTCCTCAGCTTTAAGTTACTAGAACTACCAGAGCAAATGGGAGCATTGTCAAAACAACATGTGAATTACTTCCGTAGTGAAGCCTGTCAGAAATATTAAAAATTAACTAGGTGTTTTTAATTACAAAAATGTGAGTCAAGCACTGAAAGGGTTAAACGAATGCAATGACTCAGCAAAAGCTGCAGTTCTATATAAGCAGGTGTGCCTATGTAGTTAGTAGTTGTCAGTCTGAGGTAAACCTCAGTGGGAGAAAGATCTCAGTCTGTGAGAAGGCATCACAGTGTGAGATAGGCCTCAGTCTGTGAGAAGCTTCAGTGAAAGAAGCCCCAGGTTGAAGGCCTCATGTGAAAAGCTATATGTAAAACTACTGTGTGAAGTTCCTGTGTAATTTTATTGTGAGTGGAAGCTTTGTGAGAACAAAGCTGTTTGTCTGCATAAGAAAGAAGCCCAGCTGGAAGCAACAAAGGAAGTAGAAAGAACTTTATTTGTGTGATAGAAACCTTGCTCTTGTAAATAGTGCAACCATATTATTTTGCAATTAAAAACAGCCTCCTAAGTTAGAGATAACATTGGTCTGTGTGTTTTTGTTCTTTTTATCACTTTGGGCTACAGGTGCTGGGTCACGCTGCTGCTAATAAGTTACTCTACTGTAATTTATGAGGAGGGTCTTTTGTTAATAAACCCACTCACCCAACAAACCCCTCTCCTCCCTCTCTCCCTAGGAAAGCCCAGTTTGGACCACACTCCAGAGCACATGGTCCTCCCTGCACTTCCAGGGGAATGCTCCCAACCAATGCCAGGGAAGAGGGGGATTGACTCACCCAGAGTGGGGGGCTCACTGTCCAGGGTGACTGTGGGAGAGACAGAAGGAGGGCAAAGGTCAGCGGTCCTGGGGGTCCTGCTCTGAGTCCCCCCCATCACCTACCCTGGTGGACACAGATGGCCTTGATAATAAGCCAGACCCTCCCCCGCCCCATTGGCATTATCAGCATTCACCATGTACATATTAATAATAATAGTAATAATAATAATGTTACCCTCCTCGAGGGAGAAGCCTTCCTGCAGGAGGAGGACCCTCTCCAGGCGAAGGTCCTGGCCGGAGATCGCTGGGCGGCGGGCGCAGAAGATGCAGAGCCTGGGGAGAGGGAGGCGCTGGTGAGGGGAGGGACCAGGAAAACCATGATCCCTCTCCCCTCTCCTCCCGGCCCCCTCTCCTTGGCCTAAGGCAGGCATGGGCAAACTTGGGCCCTTCAGATGTTTTGGACTTCAACACACAACATTCCTATCAGCCTTACACTCCACTTATTATGCTTATTGTATACTAGCCGTCCTCTGCCACGCGTTGCTGTGGACCTGTCTGTTTATATGTGCTTTGTGTGTGTATAGCGTCTATATGTGTGTGTATATATATTTGTGTATATGTGTATATACGTGTGTTTGCGTATACATATGTGGTTTTGTGTATGCATTGTAATGTTTATTTTATTTTTTGGCTTCTTACGTCTCTTCTGCTATGTTTTCAGTGTTTTATGAGTGGTGGTAACTTGTTGGTCAGATACATATATTGTGTCCAAATTTGTCAATTTGTCCAGTGGTTTTTGAGTTATGTTAATCTCACAAACGAAGATTACATTTTTATTTGTATAGCTATCACATCTCTAGGTTAAATATGTAATGACATTATCAGTGTCTAGACCAGGCATGGGCCAACTTGGGCAGCTGAGGGGGGAAAGGAAGTGGCCTGAAGCTGTTGGGAATTGTGGGAGTTGAAGTCAAAAACACTTGGTGGGCCCAGGTTTGTGGCTGTGGGGGAAAAGGAAGAGGCCTGAAGCTGTTAGGAATGGTGGAAGTTGAAGTCCAAAAAACCTGGTGGGCCCAGGTTTGTGGCTATGGGAAGAAAGGAAAAGGCCTGAAGCTTTTGGGAATGGTAGGAATTGAAGTCCAAAACACCTTAAGGGCCAGGTTTGTGGCTGTGGGGGGAAAGGAAGGGGCCTGAAGCTGTTAGGAATGGTGGGAGTTGAAGTCCAAAAMACCTGGTAGGCCCAGGTTTGTGACTGTGGGAGAAAAGGAAAGGGCCCGAAGCTGTTGGGAAAGGTGGGAGTTGAGGTCCAAGACACCTGGAGGGCCCAGGTTTGTGACTGTGGGGAGAAAGGTAAAGGCCTGAAACTGTTGGGAATGGTGGGAGTTGAAGTCCAAAACATCTGGAGGGCCCAGATTTGTGGCTGTGGGGGGGGGAGGAAAGGGCCTGAAGCTGTTGGGAATGGTGGGAGTTGAAGTCCAAAACACCTGGACGGCCCAGGTTTGTGGATGTGGGGAGAAAGATAAAGGCCTGACGCTGTTAGGAATGGTGGAAATGCAAAACATCTGGAGGGCCAGGTTTGTGGCTGTGGGGGGAAAGGAAAAGGCCTGAAGCTGTTGGGAATGGTGGGAGTTGAAGTCCAAAACACCTGGAGGGCCCAGGTTTGTGGATGTGGGGAGAAAGGAAAAGGCCTGAAGCTGTTGGGAATGGTGGGAGTTGAAGTCCAAAATACCTGGAGGGCCCAGTTTATGGCTGTGGAGGGAAAGGAAAGGTCCTGAGGATGTTAGGACTGGTGGGAGTTGAAGTCCAAAACACCTGGAGGGCCCAGATTTGTGGCTATGGGGGAAAAGGAAAGGGCCTGAAGCTGTTGGGAATGGTGGGAGTTGAAGTCCAAAACACCTGGAGGGCCCAGTTTATGGCTGTGGAGGGAAAGGAAAGGTCCTGAGGATGTTAGGAATGGTGGGAGTTGAAGTCCAAAACATCTGGAGAGGAAACATACTTCCCTCCCCAAGGCCAAGGAGCTCTTCCTGGTCCTGAAACCACTGCTAGTCCAGACCCCGCCCCTTGCCCCGCCCATTCAAGCCAAAGGGGGCGGGGCTTGGAAACGGAGTCTTCTTTTGGCCTGCAAAGAGGAGAGGGGTGGCGGGGAAGGGGAGAGGAGCCGAGCCCTAGCTAGCGCCCTCCCCGCTTTTCTCCCCGCCTTACGCGGTTCTTCCACGGCTCTCGACGAGGCCCAGGAGGCGGCCCTCCCCGCTCTCCAGCGCCGCCGGCGCCGCCCCAAGAAGGAGCCGTCAAGGAAGCCAAGAGCAGAGCCAAAAGCCCACTAGCCCACTCCCCACCTAAAGGCACGCCCCTTGACTCCTCCCCCTTGGTCCCCGAGTGTCCCCAGCGCCAAGGATACGGCCAGGCAGCGCTCCCCCGGCGCCAGCGCCTCCTGGACGGGGCCCGACTGGTCCATGGCGGAGGCGGAAGGAAGGAGGGAGGGAGGGAGGGAAAGGAGGAGGGACGGAGGGGCAGAGCAGGGTCAGCGCGGGACACACAAGCCCGCCCCGGAAGAGCGGCCCCGACACACACACACACACACACACACAGACTGTGTATTGTCGAAGAAGGCTTTCATGGCCGGAATCACTAAGTTGTTGCAGTTTTTTCAGGCTGTATGATCATGTTCTAGAAGCATTCTCTCCTGACGTTTCGCCTGCATCTATGGCAGGCATTCTCAGAGGTAGTGAGGTCTCTTGGAAACTAGGAAAATTGGGTTATAGATCTGTAGAAAGTCCAGGGTGGGAGAAAGAAGGTGAATGTTTCAATTGGCCAACTTGATTAGCATTTGGTAGCCTAACAGTTTCAAGGTCTGGCTTCTTACTGCTTGGGGGAATCCTTTGTTGAGAGGTGATTAGCTGTCCCTGATTGTTTCTTGCCTAGAGTTCCCCTGTGTTTGAGTTTTTTTCTTTATTTCTTTATTATTTATTTATTTATTATGGTCGCTTCTACCCCGCCCTTCTCACCCCGGAGGGGACTCAGGGCGGCTTACACAAGCAAGGCACAATTCGATGCCCGCATTACATGACAGCAAAAAACACAACATCAGTTAACGACAGCAATGATGACAATTAACATAGCAATAATTATTATCGGCAAAACAACCATAAAACCCGTAAAAGCAATTAAAAACAATAAACGTAATACAAACCTCATTGCTGGTCAGTGTTTAACAGACTCATAGTTTAGGTTCTACTTTCCACACATTGTCGGTCCTATCCATCTGGTTTCCATATCTAATTGTCAGGATGCCCAAAGGCCTGGTCCCATAGCCACATCTTTACCTTCCTCCTGAAGGCAAGGAGGGATGTTGATGCCCTGATTTCCCCGGGAGTGAGTTCCACAGGTGGGGGGCCACCACTGAGAAGGCCCTGCTCCTCGTCCCCACCAGCCTCACTTGTGATAGCGGTGGGGTCGAGAGCAGGGCCTCCCCAGATGATCTCAAATTCCGGGGTGGGACGTAGAGGGAGATACATTTGGACAGATACGCTGGACCGGAACCGTAAAGGGTTGTAGTGTTGTAGTGTAATGTTTACTGTTGCAGTGTTAGAGCTTTTTTAAAAACTGGTAGCCAGATTGTAATATTATTTGTAATATACAAATATAATTATAATATCATGTTATTAAAATTAGCATTATATTGGCGCAGTGGGTTAAAGCCCTGTGCCGGCTGGACTGAAGACTAACAGGTCGCAGGTTCGAATCCGGGGAGAGGCGGATGAGCTCCCTCTATCAGCTCCAGCTCCTCATGCGGGGACATGAGAGAAGCCTCCCACAAGGATGATAAAAACATCAAATCATCCGGGCATCCCCTGGGCAATGTCCTTGCAGACGGCCAATTCTCTCACACCAGGAGTCACTCCTGACACGACAAAAAACATTATAATATTGTAAATATTATATGTATATATATTATATTATATTAGCCATCCCCTACCACACGTTGCCGTGACCCTCATGGGGGTTCTGTGTGGGAGGTTTGGCCCAATTCTAACGTTGGTGGGGTTCAGAATGCTTTTGATTGTAAGTGAACTATAAATCCCAGCAACTACAACTCCCAAATGTCAAGATTCTATTTTCCTCAAACTCCACCAGTGTTCACATTTGGGCATATTGAGTATTCATGTAGAGTTTGGTCCAGATCCATCATTGTTTGAGTCCACAGTGCTCTCTGGAGGTAGGCGAACTACAACTCCAAAACCAAAGGACACTGCCCACCAAACCCTTCCAGTATTTTTTGTTGGTCATGGGAGAACTGTGTGCCAAGTTTGGTTCAATTCCATCGTTGGTGAGGTTCAGAATGCTCTTTGATTGTATGTGAACTATAAATCCCAGCAACTACAACTCCCAAATGACAAAATCATTTTTTTTTGAGTGAAGGACATACATTGGGTTGTTAGGTGTCTTGTGTCCAAATTTGGTGTCAATTCGTCCAGTGGTTTTTGAGTTCTGTTAATCCCACAAACGAACATTACATTTTTATTTATATAGATTATATTATATTATTAGCATAGCACAGGAGACAAGAGGGAACTCTCTTTTGGCCCCTTCTCTCTTCACTTTGGCCCAGAGCAGCAGTTGGTGCTGGAGAGAGGGCATTTGATGGCATTTGATGGCCTGACAGTTTCAAGGTCTGGCTTCTTACTGCCTGGGGGGATCCTTTGTTGGGAGGTGATTAGCTGTCCCTGATTGTTTCTTGCCTGGAGCTCCTCTGTGTTTACGTTTTGTTCTTTATTTACTGTTATAATTTTAGAGGTTTTTTTAGTACTGGTAGCCAGATTTTGTTCATTTTCATGGTTTTCTCCTTTCTGTTGAAATTGTCCACACGCTTGTGGATTTCAGTGGCTTCTCTGTGTCGTCTGACATGGTGGAGTGGTCCAGCATTTCTGTGTTCTCCAATAATATGCTGTGTCCAGGTTGGTTCATCAGGTGCTCTGCTATGGCTGACTTCTCTGGTTGAACTAGTCCACAGTGCCTTTTGTGTTCCTTGATTCGTGTTTGGGCAATGCAGTGTTTGGTGGTCCCTATGTAGACTTATCCACCGCTGCATGGTATATTTGTTTATTTATTTATTTACGACATTTATATGCCGCCCTTCTCACCCCGAAGGGGACTCAGAGTGGCTTACAAGATATATATACATACAATATATTGTATTATTAGCATAGTACAATACCAGTATTATATATTACTATATTGTACCATACCATTATATTGTAATACTAGCCATCCCCTGCCACACATTGCTGTGGCCTAGTCAGGTGATCTGGAAAATGAAATAATTAGGAAGTGTTGGTTTCTAATATATGTAATTTCTTTATGCTTGTGGGTAAAGAGTATTTCTTGCTGTTTCTTTGTCAGTGTTGATGTCGAGATTGTCTGGTTTGCCTACTCTGGAACATGCAACATATAATTGTCCTTCTTTAGGGGTCCCTCTCAAATCTAGGGTACTATATCTGTGTGTGTGTGAATCATATATATCAATCTATAATCTATGGCTGGATGGCTCTTTGTCAGGAGGGCTTTGATTACATTTTTTGCCTTGGTGAAGGGAGTTGGACTGGGTGACCTTAAGTATTTTCTGTGTGGGAAGTTTGCCCCATTTCTGTCTTGGTGGGGTTCACAATGCTCTTTGATCGTAGGTGAACTATAAATCCCAGTAACAACAACTCCCAAATGTCAACGTCTATTTTCTCCCAAACTCCATCTATTTGGGCATATGGAATATTCATGCCAAGTTTGGTCCAGATCCGTCATTGTTTGAATCCACAGTGCTCTCTAGATGTAGGTGAACTACAACTCCCAAACTCAAGTTCAATGTCCATCAATGCCCATGTTGGTCATGGGATCCTGTGTGCCACATTTGGTGAATGCTCTTTGATTGTAGGTGAACTATAAATCCTAGCAACTACAACTCCCAAATGACAAAGTCATATTTTTTGAGTGATGGTCACTTCTTGGGTTAGTAGGTGTCTTCTGGCCAAAATGGGTAGCAATTCGTCCAGTGGTTTTTGAGTTACGTTAATCCCGCAAACGAACATTACGTTTTTATTTATATAGATTATTTGTAATATTACATGCAATATAAAATATATAATTATAATATCCTATTATTATTAGTAGTATTATATTGTATTACATTATAATATTATAAATATTATATGTATATACAATATATTATATTATTAGCATAGCACAGGAGACAAGATAGAACTGTCTTCTGTCCCCTTTACTCTTCACTCTGGCCCAGAACAGCATTTGGTGCTGGGGAGAGGGCATTTGATGGCATTTGATGGCCTGACTGTTTCAAGGTGTGGCGTCTTACTGCCTGGGGGGATCCTTTCTTGGGAGGTGATTAGCTGTCCCTGATAGTTTCTTACCTGGAGTTCCCCTGTGTTTAAGTTTTGTTCTTTATTTACTGTTATAATTTTAGAGTTTTTTTAGTACTGGTAGCCAGATTTTGTTCATTTTCATGGTTTCCTCCTTTCTGTTGAAATTGTCCACATGCTTGTGAATTTCAATGACTTCTCTGTGTAGTCTGACATGGTAGTTGCTAGAGTGGTCTAGCATTTCTGTGTGATCAAATAATATGCTGTGTCCAGGTTGGTTCATCAGGTACTCTGCTATGGCTGACTTCTCTGGTTGAAGTAATCTGCAGTGCCTTTCATGTTCCTTGATTTGTGTTTGGGCAATGCTGCGTTTGGTGATCCCTGTTACAGTAAGTTATAAAAAGGACCAACACCAAGTGTGTGTGTTAAAGAAAACCTTATGCTGTTAAGTATTATGTGCAGCTGCTAATCTAGGTCAGCTAGTAAGTTTGAACCACACCCGGTGGGGTATAACTGTATGTGGTTTAGAATAAAGTTCAGCATCCAGGAGGCCTCTGCCTCCCTCTCTTGCTCGTCCAACCTCCATAGCAACCCCTGCAAGCCCTGGGGCCACAGAGAGCACCCCAGAAACCCCTTAGACCAGTCCTCCCTTTGGGGCCCTTCCACTCCTTTCAAACACATCAGAAGCGACCACTTCTTTCAAAAACATCAGTTACCTAACAGATTCCATAAGGTAAAGGTAAAGGTTTTCCTCTGACATTAAGTCCAGTCATGTCCGACTCTGGGGGTTGGTGCTCTTCTCCATTTCTAAGCCAAAGAGCCAGCACTGTCCATAGCCACCTCCAAGGTCAAGTGGCCAGCATGACTTCATGGAGCACTGTTACCTTCCCGCTGGAGCGGTACCTATTGATCTACTCACATTTGCATGTTTTCAAACTGCTAGGTTGGCAGAAGCTGAGGCTAACGGCTGGAGCTCATGCCGCTCCCTGGATTCGAACCTGTGACTTTTCGGTCAGCAAGTTCAACAGCTCAGCGCTTTAACTCACTGCACCACCAGTGACAGATTCCATAGTTTATTGAATAAAGGACCCATACAGGAGTTAATAAGTGACTAATATTTTAGCATTTTAATTCATCGTATATATCTATTGCTCTGTACATTAAGTAACAACTTAAAATCCAACCTGTCCCAAAACATTTCAAGGAGTTATACTGGAGCAACTGGAGGCCTGGCCCAACACTCATTGAGGGCAGGCGGGCGGGGTGGGTGGGACTGCTTTGTGGACATTTTCCCATAGAGAGGGGATAGTTAGGGGCAAGAGCCTTCCTTGGCCAGCGCTGCCTCAGTTGTTTGCAGGGAGAGAGGGAGAGAGGGCAAAGATCAGGCTGAGGAGGGCCAGGAGTGGGGGTAGGACTCCTATGCCCAGTTGTCCGGCCCCATTGAGGTGAACCTTGCCGTCCAGCCGCAGGCAGCTGACCCTGGGTTTGGCCGGGCAGCACTCCTGGTAGCAAGGGCCCTTGGACCCTGCAGTGCAGGGTGTGCCCATCCCCTGGCAAACTCTGCTGCAGCCGGCCACAAAGGTGGCCCCGGATTTCTTCATCTGGAAGGAGGAGAGGAAAGAGGGGCTGGGTGTCAGAAATATTAAAAACCAACTAGGTATTTTTAATTACAAAAATGTGAGTAAAGTACTGAAAGGGTTAAATAATAATAATAATAATAATAATAATAATAATAATAACTTTATTTTTATACCCCGCCAACCATCTCCCCTAGGGGACTCGGGGCGGCTTACAAGGGACACTCCCAAAATTACAATTAAAACACACATGTAAAACACTTAACCATTTAAAACATCAGATAAAAACAAATAACAGCACAATTGAAAGCAATATAAAAACAATACGGCTGAAAGGAACATAGCTGAGGTATAGATTCAATGAGTGCAATACATTTTTATACAAGCGCAGGAAAGTGCAACTGGGCAGGAAATACTGTCATAACACATGTTGAGGGTAGACGTATGTCAGTGTAAAGTGCGGGCCAGTGTAAAGTGCGGAACTTCAAGTAGGGACAAGAAAGTTACTGGTGAGCTGCTTAGCCAAAAGCGCACCGGAACATCCAGGTTTTTAGTTGACTACAAAAGGAGGACAAGGTGGGAGCCTGTCTGATCTCCCTAAGGAGGAAGTTCCAGAGCCGGGGGGCCACCACCGAGAAGGCTCTCTCCCTCGTCCCCATCAACCATGCATATGACAGCAGGGAGAGAGAGAGCAGTGCCTCCCCAAAAGATCTCAAGGTATGTACTGGTTCATAGGGGAAGATGCGATCGCGAAGATAAGCAGGATGCAATTAAATGGATGCAATCACTCGGCAAAAGCTGTAGTTCTATATAAGTAGGTGTGCCTGTAGTTTAGTAGCCTTCAGTCTGAGGTAAACCTCAGTGGGAGAAAGGTCTCAGACTATTAGAAGGCCTCACAGTGTGAGGTAGGTCTTAATCTGTGAGAGAAGGCCTCACAGTGTGAAGAAGGCCTTAGTTTGTGAGAGATGCATCTGTGTGAGGTAGGCCTTAGTCAATGAGAAGACCAAATGGGAGAAGGTTCGGTGAAAGAAACCCCAGCTTAAAGGCCTTGTGTGTAAAGCTGTGTGTAAAGCTACTATGTGAAGCTCCTGTGTAATTTTGGTGTGAGAGGAGGCTCTGTGACAACGCAGCTGTTTATCTGCATGACGAAGAAGCCCAGCATGGAAGCAAAGAAGGAAGTATAAATGACTTTGTGTTGTGGAAAACCTTGTTATTGCAAATAGTGCAACTATATTAGTTCACTGTAAAGAAAAGCTGCCTATGGAAGAGATAACATTGGTTTTTGTTCTTTTTATCATTTTGGGCTACTGGTGCTGGGTCACGCTGCTGCTAGTAAGTTACTCTGCTGTGCATTTATGAGAAGGGTCTTTTGTTAATAAGCCCAGGCAAACTACCCCACTGTTCAGAACAGAGTGGAGTGAGCATGGAGGCCTCAGAAGTGTTGGGTTTCATCCCTGACTGAACAAGTCTCCAGACCTCAATGAGTAGTTAGCCTGATAGATTAGAATGAGGGATTGCTTCCCCCTATTGCTCAAGCATGCTTATCTTAAGAAGGGACTTAGAAGGATGTTGTCTTACTCACCCTGCATGCCACTACCTCCTCCCCCTTTGAATACTTAGCAATGTGATCTCTTCAGGGAAAACTGAACTTCCTCTTTAAAGATATGTTTATTGCCCTGGTGAGGCCATGTGGTCAATTCTCCATATTGATCTTTTGTTCTTATAGAATGAGGAGGCATCTTGCCATTGTCCAGGCAAGATGTAGTAGATATAGCTATTTTTTCTTTTTCCTTTCCTTATAAGATAGCTCAGTGAAGCTAGTTAGCCCCAAGAACCTTTTCTATCCAGAATGGATTTCTTTTGACTTTAATAAACATATTATTTTTGATCCTATGAAGTTGTGGATCTGCAGTTGAGTTCCATCCTGCTGAATGGAAACCAATCCTTGCTCTTTACATGTAAGCTTCTGCTGGTTATGAACTGTGCTTCTGGCACTCTGCTATATTTTTGTGGAATCACCCAAATGAGGGTTATTTTGAGCCCAACAGCTCCTGATTCCCAACAAGAAGGAACACTGGGTACAGCTTCCTGTGGTCCCAGCCACCCTGGCCTCCTTACTGAGGCCCAAAAGGGGAGAAGATGCATTTGGAGCAGGGCATTATCTTGCACATTTGGTCCGCCCTTTGTGATTGATTTTATTATGTTATTTTGCATTGTCTATTTTATTTTGTTACACTATGTATTTTGTTAAGTTTAATTTTCTGTTGTTTTGTATATTTTTTTGTTGTACTATTTTTGGGCTCGGCCTCATGTTAGCCACCCTGAGTCCCCATGGGGGAGATGGTGGCAGGGTAATTATTATCATTATCATTATCATTATCATTATCATTATTATGACAATCCCAGCCGGGGTCAAGGGATAGGTCGGTGGCAAATATTTCATTACCTCACAGAGGTCATAGCCGACATGACAGTTCATTGAGGATCTCTGATTTCGGTAGCAGCCTTCTCCGTGGCAGGTGAAGTGGCCACACACTTTGCCCTAGGAAACCAAAGAGAGGGACACAGGAATCGTTGGTGGCAATGCTTGTGATTCCTACTGTGGCAGCCATTCGGGCCATTGTAGAGCCCACCTTTCTCCTCCCCAGGAAAGAAACACCTACATTTTGGGGGGCTGATGTGGTGGTGGTGGTAGAGGTAGTGGTGGTGGTAGTGGTGGTGGTGGTGGTAGTGGTGGTGGTTGTGAGAACCGGGGTGGTGGTGATGGGTGGTGGGTCACCTAGAAGTGAAGAGAGAGAAGCCTTGGAGTGCTGTGGGTGCCCTTGGATCATCAGGGGACTGGTGCAAGGGGCCACAGTGCATGGAATGGGAGAGGCCTTTCCCCCACCAAAACAACACCCAGAAGGGGAGGAGGGCTGTGCCCACTTGGCAACTATAGTACCGTATGCCGTAGCATTGAGGTGCAGGCAGTTTGGAGTGCTGCAGCACTCCATGGTGCAGGGCTCCATGCTCACGCTGCTGTTGGCTCCACACATTGGGGTGGCGCTGCCGTTCCCACACTCACTGCTGCACCCGGCTGCGTAACTGGTACTGTTCACACGGAGCAACTGGTGTGGGGCAGGGCATAGAAGTATTAACGGAAGATCAACCAGTAGCCCTCCATTTTAAAGACAGGGTGCAGAGAGCTGTATGTGTCCCTTCATGGCCCACCTCTGATTCCAGGGTGCAGTTCAGGGATGTATGGGGAGTCCCCCGGCAAAAAAGACCTATCCCGCAAAAGGCGAAGGCCCAGGCTCTTACCTCACAGTGGGAGGCATTGTGGCAGGACTCCCAAGAGCCATTTCTATGGACCTCTGCTGCTGCCTCTTGGTAGCATCTCTCCCCAAAACACTGGAAGTACTGGCAGGTCAGCTGGAAGAAGAGCAGGAGAAGCTGGCCTTCCATCTGGTCTTTTCAGGCCAAGAGTGACTGACCTGCCAAGCCACTGAGCCCTGACTCAAACCCTCACCCCCTTTGACAGAGCCCCATCCCTCCCCGCTTTGTTCAGGGTTGGTATTCCTTACAGGCACCACAGGGTCTGAGCCGTTCCCAGAGCTGCTGGAGAGAAGAGGGGTGATGTTGGTGAAGGGCTCTGAAAGAGAAGGGGGTGAGTTGGGGGCAGAAGGAAGAGACCTTCCCCACTCCACCCCGTTCACCCCCCTCCTCTCCTCACCCGCAGAGGTATTGGGGCTCCAAGAGTCCGACCGCAGCACAAGGCAGAGCAGGAGGAGAAGGCCTGAAGAAGGAAGAGGCCGGAAGGACTTGTCTCGGGATGGGGATCCTAGCAGGTAGCCACTCTGCCAGGAAAAGGTGGGGCAGGGGGATTCTCTCTGAACCCTAGACCTGAGCCCCAAAGGGATGGTCTTTCTTGCCCTCCCTCCCTCTCTGATATGTTAAAAAGAGTTTCCCTTACCTTGCGCTGGAAGGATCCAAGACATTGGCCGCACCATCGTGAACCAGGAGAACTCTTCCTCTCAGGCCCTGCAGAGAGGGCCGGCGGGGTGGGGGGCAAACACACAGAGCGAGCACTTTATAGCCTCTCCTTTCTGGGGAAGGCAACTTGAGAAACTGTAAGTCTGAGAGAATTGTAGTGTGAGAGAATTGGGTGTCTGCAAGGATGTTGCCCAGGGGATGCCCAGATGTTTTGATGTTTTACCACCCTTGTGGGAGGCTTCTCTCATGTCCCCGCATGGGAAGCTAGAGCTGAGACAGGAGCTCACCCTCTCCCCAAATTTGAACCACCATCCTGTCAGTCAGCAGTCCTGCCGGCACAAAAGCTTAACCCATTGAGCCACCTGGCCAAAGCCCCACCAGGCTTAGGCTGTGAGGGAGCTTTCCAAGGTGCTGAAGCCATCTGAGGTCATCTCAAACTTAACTTCCCCTTATTTATTTTATGACATTTATATGCCACCCTTCTCACTCAGAGCGGTTTACAAGTTATATGTACATACAATATATTATATTATTAGCATAGCACAATGTTAGTATTTTATATTACTATATTGTACTATATCACTATACTGTAATATTATTAATAATATTACATGTAATATAAAATATAGAATTTCAATCATGTATTATTATTAGTATTATATTGTATTACATTATAATATTATCAATATTATATGTGTATACAATATGTTATATTATTAGAGCAGCACAATATTACTATTTTATATTACTATATTGCACTATACCACTATACTGTAGTATTATTAGTAATATTACATGCAATATAAAATATAAAATAATTATTATATTGCATTACGTTATATTGTATTACATTATAACAGTATATGTGTATACAATATATTATATTATTAGCATAGCACAATGTTCATATATTACTATATTGTACTATATCACAATACTGTAATATTATTAATAATATTACATGTAATATAAATATATAGAATTATTATATTGTATTATTATTAGTGTTATATTGTATTACATTATAACATTATCAATATTATATATGTATACAATATATTATATTAGCACAGCACAATATTAGTATTATATATTACTATATTATGCTACCATACCACTATACTGTAATTTTATTAGTAATATTATATGTAATATAACATATATAATTATTATATTGTATTATTATTAGTATTATTATTATATTGTATTACATTATAACAATATCAATATTATATGTGTATACAATATATTATAATACTAGCACAGCACAATAGTATTATAATATATTACTATATTGTTGCTGGGGGGAGGGGCTCCCAACTGATGACCCTTGACTTGCCGGGATGTATGAGTGGCATATGCCAGATGGCTAGCAAGTGTGCCTTGCTTCAATACTATTGTTATCTCCCAACCTGCCTTAGTTATGGGCCAAACTTTGAAAGCACATAAAGCACAGAAGCATTTCTCCTTTGAAGGAGTAATGTTTTTTAATTATATTTTATGTTGTTAGGGGCATTGATTGCTGACTGTAAACCACCTTGAGTCACCTTCGGGCTGAGAAAGGAGGTATATAAATATGGTAAATAAATAATAGAAGGCTCTCTTCTTTGGGAAGCCCTCCATGGAAGACTCTTGCTCAATCTGCCTTTCTCACAATTACTTTATGATCTCATTAATAGGATACTTAACGTTAACAGCTTACATCCGCCTTCCCTGTTTATCGTTCCCTCTTAAAGATTTGTAGACAGGCCATCTGTGTTTTTGTTCTTGGATGGCTGCCTCAATTAAAAAAATGTTTTCATTATGAAACAATTAAAAAGGGAAGCACAAAACAGGGCCACTAATTACAGCCATGCTATAAAATTTAACAAGCAGAGACAGTTATTTATAAGCCTGCCAAGGTAAGGTTGTATTTCAGACCACAATAGTGCTTTCACAGCAAGGCCACGGCTGCTGCTTCCCATCCCCAGACATGGCAAGGGGTGCAGAGGGCAGGAGGAGAGGCTCCAGCATACAGGTTGGCAGACGGACCAATTCAGGAAGGCTGCCAATGGGTCCCAGGCTCCCTCACAAGACCCCATGGGACTAGTGGCTGCCATGGAGCCTGGAAAGTGATAAGCCAGTGGCGCAGAGCAGTTCCCTCAAGGACTCCAGTGTTGGCCCAGCAACAGTGCATTTGGCGGAGACTCCAGGGAAAGCGCCGGAGCAGCCTCCTTCCTGCCTCTTGGCAACTCAGGACCAACAAAGCCTTCTGCAGCTTTCAACAGCAAGGGGCCCTCCCGCCCAGCATTCGCCCTTCCCCTGCATCAGCCACCGCTTTTAAGATATGGGGAAAGACAAGGCAAGCCGCATGCTGAAAAGAGATGCCCAAGAAGCCTCTGATTCTTCCAGGTGCAACTCCTCCAAGGGCACTCACTGCTCAAGTCAGGATCAAACCTGAGAGAGGACTGGATTCAAGTATAGCCAGGCACAGAATATACATACACACCCCTGACTGAGAGAAAGGGAGGGAGGAAGGAAAAACAAGGAGGGTGTATTTTTAATTTTAATTGTGTTTTTAGTTTTTAATGGATTGTTTTGATGTTCTGTGGATATTTTGTCCCATTTGTAAGCTGCCCCATGTCCCTTTGGGAAGAAGGAGGAGGGGTATAAAAATAAAGTTGTTGTTATTATTAGTATTATTATGCAACAAGATTTTGTTATTCATTCGTTCAGTCGTTTCTGACTCTTCGTGACCTCATGGACCAGCACCTCATGGATCACTATGCTGGCTTTTTTGTTTGACCACATGTCAGACACTTCCCAAAAGTCTAGGACTGTGTGATGTTTCGGTGAATAATGGGTGCAGATCCAAATAGGGTGGCCTTTTGCAGCTGACAGATGGTAATTTTGTCAGCACTGATTGTTTTTAAGTGCAGGCCAAAGTCTTTAGGCATTATTTGAAACACAAGATGAGTCCACAGCAGACACTGCTGGCTGTTGTAGTGGATCACACGTCAAACACTTCCTAAGTGTCTAGGACTGTGTGATGTATCGGTGAATAGTGCATGCAGGCATTATTATTATTATTATTATTATTATTATTATTATTATCATTATTATTATTATTATTCAGTGAAGGCCAAACACAGTGAGCACTACGTTGCTGTAAGTTTTTTGGGCTGTATAGCCATGCTCCAGAAGCATTCTTTCCTGACATTTCACCTGCATCTGTGGCAGGCATCCTCAGAGGTTCTGAGGTTTGTTGGAAACTAGGAAACATCAGGAGAGAATGCTTCTGGAACATGGCCATACAGCCCGAATAATTTACAGCAACCCAGATTCTGGCCATGAAAGCCTTCAACAATACAGTGAGCACTTTCTCCAAAAATCCTTCTTGCAAAAAGTAGAAACCGGGGGGGTCATTACAGCTAATCTCCACATCCAAAGGCAACCACCCACCAGGTAAGGAATGAACAGGAGGCAGAGAGGGCTGGGCTGAGCCCTTTGGGTTGCTCATGGTTCATGCCTGAGGTTTTCCACTGCAGCCTGACCTGACCACCCACTCCATGCTGGGCCTCTCCCCATTTCCTCAGTCTGTTCCCCAAAAGACCCTCACTCCCTGGGTACTTACCTGGCTTGCTTCTCACTTGAAAGGAGCCCTGGATGCCTGAGCAACACCAGCCTTCAGCACTGACACAGAGGATGCCTCCCGCCCAGGAAGAGGTGGCACCAACTAGAAGATACAGCTGAGGGCAGGTGAGGAGGCAGAGGAGGAGCCTACTTCCTTGGTTCTCTGGGCAGCAAGTCTCTCCCTTTCTACCGCCTCCCCAATCCACCAATGCCCTGCATTTCACCCATCTGTGCATACAACAGACCTGAAGAGAGGAGGAGGTCCTCAACTGCACCGATCACTGCCTGATGGAACACAAACCATGCTGAAGACACTTCCTTTCTGCCTTTAAAACAAGTGTTTATTTCTACGAATTTGTTACATACAAAGAAATGTCTGAGACCCCGCCCTGCTCTCTGGATGGCTGACAGCTCAGCTCAGGTGGATGCAGGAAAGCCAGGACAGAAAGGGGAGGAATGAGGAAGGGGGAGGGGCACCCACAATTGCCCACCCTTCTTCAGAGCAGGCCTTGGCGCTTCAGGTCTTCGTAGGTCTTCTTGTTGACCACATTCCCGCTGGAATCTTCATATTCCTCCTGCGGAGAAAAAAGTGTCAGGATCACCGTATCAGCTGGGACTGGCTGCTTCGGCTCTCTGCCATAAAGAAGTGAGGTTGGGTACAGCCGGGGAAAGTAGTGTAGATAAGACATGTTTTGTGAGGGAAATTGAAATTGCAGTTAACAGACTGAGTGTTTGGCCACTAGGGGGCAGATGGGAGTTGGGGCTGATATATACAGGAGGTTTGAGCAGGAAAACTTTAGAACTGTCTTTTTAGGATTTTGGAAAAAAGGAATAAACTACTTGTCTCCAGCGTTTTGTTGTTGTAAGCTTGATTTTAACTCCAAGGTCTTCCAGAGTCTGACAGAATGAGGGAAAGAAGGAAGGAGAGATCTATTGAATGTCTGTGCATGGAAATCATTGAGTGTGGGCAGCAGGGCTGGATCACGCCAAGACTCACACGGCCAAAGAGCAATCAGATGTCCCCAGCAAACCTACTGGGAGAGCCCCCTTTGCTTCCGGGGGACCCTGAGGCTTGTCCTCAGAGCCATCCTTCAGCTACTGCTTCAGATTATCAGGCACATGTGCTAATCTTTTCTCCCACTGGAGGACCTTCATGCCATGACAAGGGACTGACAGACACCCCCATTTATAGGGGGTTCATCAGATTCTCCCAGCTGTGATTGTTGGAAATGGCAACCTTCCAAGCCTTCACTATTTGTTTGTTAATGTATATATTTGCTAACTTAAATCAAGAAATAGTTTTCTAAGATCTACAGAGGCACTCACTGGAACACCCCAGCAAGCGAGAGTCCAAAAGTGGCAGACTCAAACCCAGAACCTCAATCAATGGCTGATACTAAATGAGAGACTCCCTCCTGGGCACACAGAAAACTGGGTGACTTGGCAGGCACTGAACAGACTGCGCTCTGGCACCATGAGATGTAGAGCCAACCTTAAGAAATGGAGCTACAATTGAGTTCACACCATGCGAGGGAGGAGAAGAGCAAACCACAGACCACCTATTTCAATGCAGTCTGAGCCCCGCCACATGCACAATGGAGGACCTTCTTATAACAACATCAGAGGCACTCCAAGTGGCCAGCTACTGGTCAAAGTACATTTTTCAAACTTTGTTTTTTTGTTTTTTTTTAAAAAATACAATATAACTGTTTTGTTCACTCCTGATACGATAAATCAGTACCTGTAATGTATGTAGATATTTGCCAGTATGACTGACCTCTTTGGTGTGGGAGAGGCTATGGGCATGTGATTGTACTGATTATGTTCAGACTCAATACTTCATTTTGTTATTCATTTTGGACTTCAATGTTACCAGTTTGCATCAGACCTCAGTGGAGGTGGATGCATAGATGTATGTGTTTGGTCTTCAATGAAAGCGGTTGCTGTTTAGAGACTTCAATAGAGAAATATGACTTATGGACTTCGGTGAGTACAGCTATACTTAAAGACTATGGACAATGATAAAGAATGGTATCTTGTGTAAACACACAGAGAAACCTACATCCTATCTACTACTGAACTTTAATAAGAAATGTCCCTGTATGGTGAATCAATACAAGATAGTTGTGATTAAACAAGATATGTCATTTTTCAAATACTTTTTTTTAAATCTCTGAGTGCATATTTTAACTAAGAGGTTTCAAGGGAGGGTATACCTTTTGGGCAACTGTAATTTCAACTTCAAAGAATCAACCATCCTCTGCTAACCAAATATATTTTTGTAATGACATGTCTTTATCTTTGGTAGTTTAAAGACAGGGTTCTTCAGTTTAACAGCTGAGTGACCTGTGTGCCAGGACATGAATGCTTATGAATATCACTTGTTCAAAGCATTGACTTCTAACAAAGTCATGCCTTCTCTTGACTACATGGAGATTCACATTTGCCAAATGGATGTGACATCATTTTTACCTTTTCAATAAGGTTATGGTGCAGTTATTCCCAATAAGTTATGGAATTTCCAATAGTGATGACCTCAGGGGATTTTGGGATACAGAGGCACAGGCACTCCTACACCCCACCCACTCACAATCACCATCCCTGCCCCACAGCCCCAACTGACCTCTGTGTCTGGCTGCCACCGCTCTGAAGCCTTCTGCTGTTTCAGCTTTGACCAGACTGCAAGAGACACAAACAGAGAGTCAGGGCCACTGCTCCCCGACATAAACGCCGCTGCCTCCATCACTAGCAGAAGAAGGGCCGTGTGCCCCCTTACCACCACCACACCCCAATCAAGGCTCCTGTCTTGTCCAGCTGATTGACCCAAACTACCCCCCCCCCCAAATGGCACCTGGGGATCAAGAGAAGCCAGATACACAGCGGTTGCTCTCAGAGAATCTCTCACAGCTGCTGCAATCGAATACAGGCATATGGCAGTGATGGCAGCATTCTGCCCCTGGACTCCCAAGCAGCTGGAAGAGGGGGGCGCTTGCACTTACGGGAGACAGCATCCTCAATCTGTGTGACATTGGCAAAGTGAGCCGTGTTGGGGATGCCCAGGCACCGCATCCCGTGAGCATGGCGCCACTCCTGCAGAGCAGAGAAAGGCATCAAAAAAACGGTCAGCAAGGAAGGGCCAACCCAGGCTGATTCCAGGTAGCCACAAAGGGCACAGAGAGCTTGAAGAAGAAGCAGGAAGGAGAGCAGCCCCACACGCCTCTCTTCTGCATGGCACCCAAGCCCACAATCCAGGCCCACAGAACTTGTCAAGGACAATATAGAAAGATCCCCAAGCTCCTGAGATGCATCTCCCCCACCCCACAATGCTTTGGCCCAACCCCTTGTTGGCCTTGCATCCATTGTAAACAGAGCTCCCCTGACTCTTCTGGTTCCCCTTGGGCCTCTTCTCAACCCAACACAATGCCTCTCCCGGCTGCCACTCACTGCAAAGTGCCGCTGGAAGGCCTTGGGACCCCGGTACGTGTAGTTCCCACAGATCTCACAGTTATAGTTGATGTTCAGGCCGTGGAGCTTGTACAGCCAGTAGGGGATAGGCTGCAAGAGGGCAAAGAGAAAGGAAATGACTCTGTGCTGCCCTCAGAGAGACCCACTCAGCCCCTCCCCAAAATCCCTCCAATGACCAGCAGGGGACGCACCTTGCCATCCCATCCCAGGGGCAGGTTCTTGGGGTTGTAGATGATCTCGTTCTCCTCATCCTCACTCTCACTCTCGCTGATCTGCTCCTCCTCCTCCTCCTCCCGCTCCTCCCCAGTCCGGGCCTGTTTGCGCTGGACGTTCTCGTGGGTCAGCTGCCGTTGCTCCTACAAAAGAGGACAAAGGCTGCGGGCATCAGCAAGGCAGTCCTGTCCCGGCCATGAGGCCCCAAACAGGGCTGGGGGCTGAAGGAAGAGAGCGGCACTCACCCCCAGGGTCTCCACGTATTCGTAGATCTGAGCTTCAAGAAAAGCCAGGTCCCTGTTGCGCTCCGTGTCCCTGCAAAGACAACAGCACTGTGATGTATGGGCCTGCTCTGGCAAGGTGCCAGAGAGCCCAGGAAGAGCTGGTCACACCATTATGGACAGTTAGGAATGTGACCAGCAAAAGGCCATGGAGCCTACTCACCGCTTGCTTCCCTTTGTCTTGGGGTTCTTCGCAAAGAGGGAAGGGTCAAGGGCTTCCAGAGACTTTCCCTTGGTGCTGAACAGCCTCTGGGCACGTTCCTCTAAAGTACTGCTCAGGAGGGAAAGACAAGGTAAGACCACAGAGCTAAGACTCTGTTCTTTCCCGGGGGAGGGGGGGTGCACTCTAGTATTTACAGCATTTATATCCCGCCCTTCTCACCCCAAAGGGGACTCAGGGCGGCTTACATAATTGGCATTATTCCATGCCCAAATAACAACAACAATTAAAAGCAATTAAACAGCAATTTAAAACAACATTAAAACAACATATATAAACATAAGACAATTATTGTGCATAGATCCAAAGCCAATAGTCAAATAATCATATTTATCAATCCAGGGTCAATTCCAACTGTATTGCACAGATAATTATGCTGAGCCAAATGCTTGCTCCCAAAGTCAAGTTTTCACTTGTTTGTGAAATGACAGGAGGGACGGGGCCAATCGAATCCCACTACGGAGGGAGTTCCACAGCCAAGGAGCCACCACTGAGAAGGCCCTGTCTCTCATCCCTATCAGCCGTGCCTGCAAAGGTGGTTGGACCAAAAGCAGGGCCTCCCCAGAAGATCTTAACCTACATGATGGTTCATAGAGGGAGATACATTCGAACAAGGAAGTTGGGACGGGGTCATTCAGGGCTTTATAGGCCAAAGTCAGCACTATGAATTGTGCTCTGTAGCAAACCAGGAACCAGTGGAGCTGACACAACAGGGGGTTGTGTGATCCCTATACGCCGCTTCCATTAGTAATCTGGCTGCCACACATTGGACTAGTTGAAGCTTACAACAGTCTTCAAAGCCAACCCCACGTAGAGCGTGTTACCGTAGTCTATACGAGATGTAACCAGCCCATGGATCACCATGGCCAAATCTGACTTCCCAAGGTATGGGTGAAACTGGCACTTAAGTTTTAATTGTGCAAAAGCCCTTACCCAGACACTGCCCTAAAGCCCAGCTAAACTGTCCCAAAGCCTCCCATTGGGCTGATGGAAATCCAGCCACTAACTTACCCCCCACACTTCAGACCCAACGCCAACAGGGCAGACTTCAGCCGATCCAATCCAAGGGAAGCCAGTTCCTGAGACATAAAAGCTCAGAGTTAGCGGGAGTCAAACTGATGCTTAGCACCTCCTCTGCAGGGCAGCCATGTCCTCAGCAGAACCAAGGGATGGGGGGAAAGGGGAGACTGCAGGACTATCGCTGCCACCCTGCCCCGCTCTGTGACAAGAAAAACTCAAGGATGCAAACCCACCTCCCAGGAAGAGAAGGCTGAGAGATCCAGGTGGGCCCCTGCATGGGTGAGGGCGCTGCTGGTCTCTTTCTGTCAAAACAACACAAGAGACAACAGTTACTGGCCAAAGGCCCTTGGTACACCTTGGCCCAGCAGGCACCAAACAAGCCTGGAAAAGGGTCTGCCCCAAGCCTAAATGGCCAAATTGGCCCCTCTGTCCATCTCTGCTCACCGGCCACCCAGGGAATGTGCCATTATCCCATTTCTTCTCAAACTCTAATTGGATTTTGCCAAAGAGCTCATTCTGGTCTAGTAGCGGCTTCACCCGGTCTGTGTAATCCTGAAGGTATTCCAGAAGCATCTCCAAGTACCTGTAATGGGAAAACATAAAGCATGGTGACTCACAGAAAGACAAGCAAAGCTCCTGGCAGCACCAGAGGGGCCACATAAACCACAGGCCAAGGCCACTTCTGCGCTTTTCCTCTCATTCCTCAAAATGCCCGATTACACTGACCTTCTGTATTCTGCATTTTTTCTATCCTTGGGAATGTCAAAGAGTTGGTCAAAAGTAGACAAGTATGTGATGTAGTCCAGTTTCTGCAAAACAGATCATGGGTAAAGTTAAAGATTTCCCCTGACATTAAGTCTAGTCGTGTCTGACTCTGGGGGTTGGTGCTCATCTCCATTTCTAAGTCGAAGAGGCGGCGTTGTCCATAGACACCTCCAAGGTCATGTGGCTGGCATGACTGCATGGAGTGCCATTACCTTCCTGCCAGAGCAGTACCTATCGATCTACTCACATTTGCAAGTTTTCGAACTGCTAGGTTGGCAGAAGCTGGGGCTAACAGCAGGAGCTCACCCCACTCCCCGGGTTCGAACTGTCAACCTTTTGGTCAGCAAGTTCAGCAGCTTAGCGGTTTAACCCGCTGTGCCACCAGTTGGCCCTCACCACTATTACTACTACTACACTAGTGTCTCGCTTATCCAACCTTCACTCATCCAACCTTCTGTATTATCCAATACAGGCTGCCTCCTGCCCGAATCCACAACTTTTTCAATACATTGCAATGTTTTGGTGCTAAATTGGTAAATACAGTAATTACTATATAATGTTGTGTTTTGAACTGCTTTTTGTGTCAATTTGTTGTAAAACATGATGTTTTGGTGATTAATTTGTAAAATCATAATGTAATTTGATGTTTAATAAGCTTTTTCTTAATCCTTCCTTATTATCCAACGTTCTGCCGGCCCGTTTATGTTGGATAAGAGAGACTCTACTGTAGCATAATTACTATTACTACTATAATAATAATTATTATTGACAAGGCAGAAATTCTTTTTCTATACAGCACTAGACTGTTAGTTGAAGGTGATAGATAGTGTAGGGTCCAGAAAGAAAAGAATAACAACCAAGCAATGCCCTGCTCCCTGCAGCCATCTTATCTCACCTCTGAGGCCTTAAGGTTAATGTACTTGAGATAACAGTCGTGCAGGTCCAAATAGCGGCCGTATCCTTCTTCATCGGTAAACTCTACAAGGTCTGCCAAAAACAAAGAAATGCATCTGGAAAACTGCCAATGAAGGGAGTGCCCCTTCTTTCCACTCTGTCTGCACTTTGTTGGGTTTGCTGCACCCCCAAAATATGCAGCCCATCTGCTCCAGCTTCTCTTGAGAAGAGAGGTAGGCATCAGGGCAGGGAGGGAAACCAAGGGGTGATTCCAAAGGCTTTCAGGTCTCAAACGTACTCTGGGCCTCTTCACTGGGGTTCTCCCGGGCCTTGAGGAACTCCTCAAACTCCACTGACATTGGCACACAGATCTATAAAAGAGCACAAAAAACATTATTGTTGTACCCCTTGGAAGAAATAGGGGCAACTGGGAGCAGCCAGGTTTTTATTGTTTCCTAGATTCCTGGCCGACCTCTCTGAGCCCTGGCACAAGAATGAGAGCTGCTACATCACCACACAGTTGGTCCCAAACCACTCAGAGAACACTCCCAAATGTAACAAAAATAAATTAAAATGGCTCTGATTTTACTATGTAACAAAATTTGATTTTTTTTCTCTTCCTGGTTTGAAAGCGTTATTTCCTGTTTGGTCCTTACTTTGAAAGTAGTTGTTCAACTCCAAAAACAATTTTGTTTTTGCGGCTCCTACAAACTAGGTTGAATTGGTTGAGACTTGATGAGATATTCATTGAAAAACTAGAGCAAAATGTGCTACTGCAGTTTAATAAACTTTTTCCATATTTTTATGATAGAACCTATTAGGAAATGACATTTATAACCCAGGAACAAAAACCGTGTTGCACAATGTTTTGTTTCAGGCCATTATCAGGTGCCTTTTGGTGGAGCCGTAAGCAGCTACCAGCCCTGCAGGCCCTCACCTCATTGGGATGCTTCCGGTGGAACTCCTTGATCTGTTTGAGGCGGTTGTAAAATTCGGCAAACTCGTTGGGTCCCGAGATGGCGCTGAGCTCCTCCTTCCGCAGCCTGAGGGGCCACAAGAAGGTGAAGAAATTGAATGGGTTGTCTGCTGAGCAGACAGAAGAGAGTCGACTTGCCTGCTCAATAGCACATTCAAGGATTGTGGGTGGGGGGTGGGGGGAGGGGGGAGCCCTCCCAGGTGCCCCTGGAGAGCATCAAGGAGTGGCAAAGGCTCAGGGAGAACTCCAAGGAGCCACCTCTCCCTCCCTCCCTCCAAAGGCCACAATGCCCCTGCCCCCCTGGAACTGGCAGTCAACCCCTCCCTTCTCACCCGTCTTTATCGTCGTATAAGTCACGAAGATTGCCGCTCACTTCCATGTAGCGCTGCAAGAGAAGGAAGGCTCCGCCATCAGTGGGGCACAAGTTGGGGCTGTATGGGGTCAAAAGCCCACCTTTCCCATAAAACTGGGTCTCAAAATATTTGTGGTATTCTCTAAATCTGGTGCTTGGGCCACATTTATGTATTTATTTATGACATTAATATGCTGCCCTTCTCATCCCGAAGAAGACTCAGAGCGGCTTACAAGATATATATACATACAATATATTATATTATTAGCATAGCACAATATCAGTACTAAATATTATTATATTGTACTATACTGTTATTTATTTATTTATTTAAAACATTTACATTCCGCCCTTCTCACTCCGCAGGGGACTCAGGGCGGACCACAACATATATACGGCAAACATTCAATGCCGGGACATAAAACCATAACTATATACAAACATTAAAATCACTTATATTCAGATTAAAAGTTGCTTTAAAACCATCTCAGGACACCATTTTGCCTCACTGCACTATCCCAAAGGCTTGGTCCCACAGCCAGGTCTTCAACATCTTTCTAAAGGACAGGTGGGAGGGGGCTGATCTAATATTGCCAGGAAGGGAGTTCCATAACTGGGGGGCAATCACTGAGAAGGCCCTGTCTCTTGTCCCCACCAAACGGGCCTGTGATGGTGGCAGGACAGAGAGCAGGGCCTCCCCAGAAGATCTTGGTTTCTGCAGTGGTTCGTAAAGGGAGATGCATTCAGACAGGTAAACTGGGCCGGGGCCGTTTAGGGCTTTATAGGCCAAAGCCAGCACTCTGAATTGTGCTTGGTACTATAATGCACTCTACGTAAGGCTGCCCTTGAAGACGGTTCAGAAATTGCAGCTGGTGCAAAGATTGGTGGCCAGATTGTTAACTGGAGCAAGTTACAGAGAGTGGTCAACCACCCTGTTTAAACAGCTCCACCGGCTGCCGATAAGTTTCCGGTCGCAATACAAGGTGCAGGTTATCACCTATAAAGCTCGAAACGGTTCAGGACCTGCCTATCTGCGTGACCACCTCCTCCCTTACGAGCCCACACGGTCCTTAAGATCTTCCGGGGATGCCCTTCTCTCACTCCCATCTCAGGCACGGTTAGTGGGGACAAGACAGAGGGCACTCTCAGTGGTGGCCCCCCGTCTCTGGAACTCCCTCCCCAGGGAGATTAGGCTGGCACCCTCGCTAGCCACATTCCGTAAGGAATTAAAGATGTGGATGTTTCATCGTGCTTTCGATTGACAACTCCTATGACAAATGGCCTGTATCATGACTTGAATTGTCATTCAATCTGATATCCTATATTATATTAACTGATCCTGTTAATTTGCTGTTTCCATGATTTTTCCTATGCCATTATACATTGTCATCTACCTTACTAAACCACTTTATCCTTTAACTAGTTCACGCAGTGGTTTTGCTTCCCCCCCCCCTCCAAAATTAGTCTGCGGTTATTGTTGTTGCTAGCTATTTTTGTTATGTTGTTTTATGCTGTTTTAATTGTTATTGCTTTATTTTACTTGTATTCTGCCTGGGATTGGGCCCCGTGTAAGCCGCCCCGAGTCCCTCCGGGGAGATGGAGGCGGGGTAGAAAAAAAAAAGGTCTTCTTCTTCTTAGTAGCAAACAGGCAGCCAGTGGAGTTGATGTAATATTAGTAATATTACATGTAATATGAATATTTTATTTATTTATTTATTATTTGAATTTATATGCCACCACTCCCCTGGGGCTCGGAGCGGCTTACAAGAAAAGGCTAAAATTGAACACAATTTAAAAACAATTTAAAAACAATTTAAAAACAGCAATCAAAGATCAAAGGCCCGTCGAAACAGATGTCTTACATGCCCTGTGGAAAGCTGATAAGTCCCGCAAGGCACGGGCTTCAGGTGGCAGGGTATTCCAGAGTGATGGTGCCACTGCTGTAAAGGCTCTACGCCTGGTTGCTATTAGACGCAAGGTCTTGACACTGGGAATTTCCAACAAATCTTGGTCCTCAGAACGAAGGGATCTCTGGGGTTGGTAGGGGGTGAGGCGGTCCCTCAGGTACATCGGCCCCAGACCATGCAAGGCCTTAAAGGTGAATACCATCACTTTGAAAGTGATCCGGTGCTCAATTGGTAACCAGTGCAGCTGCAGTAAGACTGGTGTTATGTGGCATCTCATCAGAATTCCTGCAAGAAGCCGAGCAGCTGCATTTTGTACCAAGTTGAGCTTCCGGATCACCAACAGAGGAAGGCCAATGTAGAGGGCGTTACAGTAGTCCAGTCTTGAGATAACCGTAGCCTGGATCACTGTAGCTAGGTCGTCCCTGGACAGGTAGGGGGCCAGTCGTCTAGCCTGCCGCAGGTGAAAGAAGGCGGTTCTGCTAACGGCGGAGACCTGGGCCTCCATCGTCAGAAGAGGGTCCAAAAGGACTCCCAGACTTTTTACCAATGATGACGGCCGTAGCGCCTCGCCATCCAGGGTAGGCAGCTGGATATCCCCACTGCCCGGTTGATCCAGTCATAGGATCTCCGTCTTTGCTGGATTCACCCTCAACCTGCTGGCACGCAGCCATCCAGTAACGACCTTGAGGCACGGATGGAAACAATCGGGTACAGAGTCTGGTCGGCCTTCCATCTTCAGCACAAGCTGAGTGTCATCAGTGTACTGGTAACACTCAAGCCCAAAACCTCGAAACAGGTGAGCAAGTGGTCGCATATAGATGTTAAACAACAGAGGGGAGAGAATGCCCCCTGAGGAACCCAAGATAGAGGGGACCTCTCAGAGACCAGACCTCCCCTCTCCACTCGCTGTCCACGGTTGTGAAGAAAGGAGGACAGCCAGTTTAAAGCTGTCCCCCTGACTCCAGCAACAGCAAGGCGGTGGGTCAAAAGATTGTGGTCGACTGTGTCAAATGCTGCTGTGAGATCCAATAACACAAGCAGCGCTGACCCGCCCTGGTCAAGCTGGCATCAAAGGCGATCCGTGATGGAGACCAGCACAGTCTCTGTCCTGTGCCCCGCACGGAAGCCGGACTGGAAGGGATCTAGTCCGGCTGTGTCGTCTAGAAATTGCTGCAACTGCTCCGCTGCTGCCCTTTCAATCACTTTGCCCAGGAATGAAAGATTCGAAACTGGGCGGTAACTGGAGGGAACCGAGGGATCTAAATCTGGTTTCTTCAGCAGGGGAGAGACCACTGTCTCTTTTAAACCCTCTGGAAAAACTCCTTGCTCAAGGGAGCTGTTTATGATCTGTTTATGAGCTGTTTATGAATATATAATTATAATATCATATTAGTAGTAGTAGTAGGTAAAGGTGGTCCCCTGACATTAAGTCCAGTCATGTCTGACTCTGGGGTGTGGTGCTCATCTCCATTTCTAAGCCGAAGAGCCAGCGTTGTCCGTAGACACCTCCAAGGTCATGTGGCCGGCATGACTGCATGGAGTGCCGTTACCTTCCCGCCGGAGCGGTACCTATTGATCTACTCACATTTGCATGTTTTCGAACTGCTAGGTTGGCAGAAGCTGGGGGCTGACAGCTGGAGCTCACACCGCTCCCTGGAATCGAACCTGCAGCTCAGTGCTTTAACCCACTGTGCCACTGGGGGCTCCCAGTATTATTATTATTATTAATATTATTATTATTATTATATTGTATATTATATGTATATACAATATATTGGGAGCCCCCGGTGGCGCAGTGGGTTAAAGCACTGAGCTGCTGAGCTTGTTGATCGAAAGGTCGCAGGTTCGATTCCGGGGAGCGGCGTGAGCTTCTGCTGTCAGCCCTAGCTTCTGCCAACCTAGCAGTTCGAAAACATGCAAATGTGAGTAGATCAATAGGTACCGCTCCGGCGGGAAGATAACGGCGCTCCATGCAGTCATGCCGGCCACATGACCTTGGAGGTGTCTACGGACAACGCTGGCTCTTCGGCTTAGAAATGGAGATGAGCACCACACCCCTGAGTAAGACATGACTGGACTTAATGTCAGGGGACCACCTTTACCTTTAATATATTGCATTACATTATAATATTATAACTATTATATGCATATACAATATATTATATTATTAGAATAGTATCTTCCTGCTTGGCGGAAGGAAGGGAGGGAGGGGGCTGGGCTGGCGGCGCCTCTACTCACGTCCTGCATGGCGCGGGTCCGGTGGTCCGAGTTGATTTGGTCCCGAAGCTGCAGAAGGGGAGAAGAAGAGAAGACAGAGGAGGAAGGGAGTGAGGGCGCGGGAGGAGGAGGAGAAGGCGGGAGCGGGGAGTGGGCCTCCCCCGCCAAAGCCCCCTCCCCTCGGCCCCTCCCCGCACCGTGGTTTTCCGGGTCAGCATCTCCTTCACCATGACGTCCATCAGCCGCTCCCGCTCTTCGTGGTAGCGCCGCTGCTGCTCCAGGATGGTCTCCATGGTGGAGCTGGCAGCCAAAGGAAAGAGAAGCCCGGCCAGAAGTTGCGCGCGCACACGCCCGGAAGGAACACCCCTTCTTTCTTGCCGGCTGAGGTCCGACTGTAAGCGCTTCCTCCCGCCCCTGGAGCCCAAGAAGAAGGGTTCCGCTGCCTCTTCCTTCCGCCGGGACCCGTCTTTAAGACGGCACGCTTCTTGAAGACTCCTCCGGCACTCAGCCCCGCTTCCCAGCATTTGTTGTTCAGCCTTGATACTGTTTTATTTATTATTTATTTAGAGATTATTGTATTCTGACCTCCATCAAGGGACTCAGGCCAGTTTCCAACCACAATATCACAAACAATCATTAAAAACATCATATTCCATATTACACTAAAACATTAAAATAGCAAAATACAGTCATATAATTACAATGGTCAGTCGTCACAATAAAATCGTTGTTCATCACCATCCATCCATATCACAGGATATTGACTCACTTGTCAAATGCCAGTTTCCAAAGCCACCTGTTTTCTAAATGTCAGGATAGAAGGGGCAGTTCTGATCTCCAGTGGAAGAGAGTTCCAGAGCCGAGGGGCCACCACAGAGAAGGCCCTGTCCCTCGTCCCCACCAGACACACTTGTGAGGCCGGTGGGACTGAGAGCAGGGCCCCTCCAGACGATCTTAACCAGGGGTCCTCAAACTAAGGCCCGGGGGCCGGATATGGCCCTCCAAGGTCATTTATCCGGCCCTCGCTCAGGGTCAACCTAAGTCTGTAAAGACTCAAAAGTACACAACAACAACCATCCTATCTCATCAGCCAAAAGCAGGCCCACACTTCCCATTGAAAAAGTAATAAATTTATATTTGTTAAAATTGTTCTTCATTTTAATTATTGTATTGTTTTTAAGTGGGTTTTGGACTACAAATAAGATATGTGCAGTGTGCATAGACATTCATTCATATTTTTTTTCAAATTATAATCCGGCCCTCCAACAGTTTGAGGGACTGTGACCTGGTCCTCTGTTTAAAAAGTTTGGGGACCCCTGATCTTAACAATCTTGATGGTTCATAGGGGAGAATACGTTCGGACAGGTAAACTGGGCCAGAGTCGTTTAGGGCTTTATAGGTTAACACCAGCACTTTGAATTATGCTCGGAAGCTAATTGGCAGCCAGTGGAGCTGGTGCAACAGAAGAGTAGTATGCTCCCTGTACCCTGCTCCCGTTAGTATCATGGCTGCCGCTCGTTGGACTAGTTGGAGTTTCCGGGCAGTCTTCAGAGGCAACCCCACATAGAGAGTGTTGCATTAATCTAAACAGGATGTAACCAGCGCGTGGACCACCGTGGCCAAGTCAGACTTCCCAAGGTACGGGCGCAGCTGGCGCACGAGTTTTAATTGTGCAAAAGCTCCCCTGACCACCGCCGAAACCTGATGTTGTCTGCTTCTGTGGGCCAGAGTGACGAGAGAGAGGACCAGAAAGATATCTCCACCTTGTCTCCTGTGCTATGCTAATAATATAATATATTCTGTGTGTGTGTGTGTGTGTGTGTGTGTGTATATATATATATATATATATATATATAATATTTATAATATTACTAGCCATCCCCTGCCCCGCGTTGCTGTGGCTCAGTCTGTGTATATGTGTTTTGTGTGTATATATGTGTGTGTATATATTTGTGTATATACACAAATATATTTGTGTTGCCTATATATGTGTGGTTTTGTACATGTGTTGTCATGTATATATTTTTTGGCTTTTTAAAGTCTCTTTTGCTGTGTTTTCCCATGTTTTTATGAGTGATGGTCACTCATTGGGTTGATAGGCATATTCTGTCCAAATTTGGTGTCAGTTCGTCCAGTGGTTTTTTAGTTATGTTAATCCCACAAACGAACATTACATTTTTATTTATATAGATAATGTAATACAATATAAAACTAATAATAATACAATAATTAAATATTTATATTACATGCAATAATATTACAATATAATGATATAGTGCAATATAGTAATATATAATACTGATATTGTACTATTCTTTTCTTCTTCTTCTTTTTATTGTGTCAGGAGCGACTTGAGAAACTGCAAGTCACTTTTGGTGTGAGAGAATTGGCCATCTGCAAGGAGGATGCCCAGGAAACGCCCAGATGTTTTTGATGTGTTTTTGATCCTTGTGGGAGGCTTCTCTCATGTCCCCGCATGAGGAGCTGGAACTGATAGAGGGAGCTCATCCACGCTCTCCCTGGATTTGAACCTGTGACCTGTTGGTCTTCAGTCCTGCCGGCACAAGGGTTTAACCCACTGCCCCCAGTGGCGCAGTGGGTTAAACCCCTGTGCCTGCAGGACTGAAGACCGACAGGTTGCAGGTTCGAATCCGGGGAGAGACAGATGAGCTCCCTCTATCAGCTCCAGCTCCTCCCACAAGGATGATAAAACATCAAAAAATCATCCAGGCGTCCCCTGGGCAACGTCCTTGCATACAGCCAATTCTCTCACACCAGAAGCGACTTGCAGTTTCTCAGGTCGCTCCTGACACGACAAAAAACAAAAACAAAAAAAAACCACCGGGGGCTCCCAGTGCTATGCTAATAATATAATGTATTGTATGTATGTATATATATATATATATATATCTTGTAAGCTGCTCTGAGTCCCCTTTGGCGTGAGAAAGGCAGCATATAAATGCCGTAAATAAATAGTCTGATTATGGTGTTTTATTGATTTTTGTTGTCGACTGTATTTTCTGTGCTTGTTATTAATCTGTATTCCTTGGGCTTGTCCCTTTATAAGCTGCTCTGAGTCCCTTTGGGGAGATGGAGGCAACGTATAAAAATAAAGTTATTGTTATTATTGCCCTTCTTGGGCTGCAAGATGACACAGAATCATGGGGAATGGAGTCGTACAAGGCCTCCAGCCTTCTCTGCCAAAGAGGATCCAATGATGTCAAACCGCATCCATAATGCAGTGTAGGGCCCCCTAGTGGCGCAGCGGGTTAAACCAATGAGCTGCTGAACTTGCTGACCAAAAGGCTGGTGCTTCAAATCCAGGGAGCAGGGTGAGCTCCCGCTGTTAGACCCAGCTCCAGCTAACTTAGCAGTTTGAAAACATGCAAATGTGAGCAGATCAGTAAGTACTGCTTCTGTGGGAAAGTAACAGCGCCCCATGTAGTCATGCTGGCCACATCACCGTCCTAGAAGGTGTCTGCAGATAATGCTGACTCTTCAGCTTAGAAATGGAGATGAGCACCACCACCCCTCCAGAGTCAGACACAACTGTACTTAATGTTAAGGGGAAACTTTTACTTTAGTACAGTGTAGGCACAGCCCGTCCAAGGCCCTGGGTCTAAAGGGGCCCTGATCCAAAGTTTGGGGGTGCCCTCCTCTTGGTGGCCCCTTTGCAAGAGGCTGTGCTTTTGGCTAGCTTCCTTCCTGGCTCAGATGGCCCCAAGATGAACCTGTCATGGCTTTCTTGGCAAGAGTGGCGTTTGCCTCCCTCTGAGGCTGAGAGGATGCGACTCGCTTAAGGGCACCCAGTGGGATTCGGATTCTGTCCCCCAGCCCAGTGCTCAAACCACTCTGGTCTGGGACTCATTGGGTCCTCTGGGGAAAAATACAGAGGTTGCCTGACTGAGCCCAACTTTGGCACCGAGTGAGTGGCGTCCACCCCATAAATACCAGGATGTGGGGAAGGGGGGGCAAAGTGTGTGCATCGCAGCCTTTGCAGGAGCAGCACAAGGGAAAGATGACAAGTTATTAGAATATGTATAAATGGCCAAGCTGTCTAATGGTCTTGGAGGTAAAAATAAAAAGGAAGGCAAAAGTGGATTTTTAGGGAAGCTGCAAGGGGAATAATTTAAGGAACTTACAAGGGTAGGTATTATAGGGCATAGGTATCACAGTGCAGGGCGACAGAAGCCCTAGGTGGTGTGGGGAAGGAGGAATAGTTCTAGGTTGCCTTGAGTTTTCTGGGCTGTATGGCCATGTTCCAGAAGCATTCTATCTTGACATTTCACCCACATCTATGGCAGGCATCCTCAGAGGTTGTGAAGTTTGTCAGAGACTAGGCAAGTGAGGTTATATATCTGTGAAGGGATAGTCCTGTTTCTTCTGTTTGTCACAGTCATTGTTGTATTTTGTTTTCTTCATTTGTTACTGTTTTTATACTGCAGTAGAATTTTGCGTATCCAACCTTCACTCATCCAACGTTCTGTATTATCCAACACAGTCTGCCTCCCGCCCGAATCCACAGCTATTTCAATACATTGCAATGTTTTGGTGCTAAATTCGTAAATACAGTAATTACTACATAACATTACCATATGCTGAACTGCTTTTTCTGTCAATTTGTTGTAAAACATGAAGTTCTAGTGCTTACTTTTAAAAATCGTAATACAATTTGATGTTTAATAGGCATTCCCTTAATCCCTCATTATTCAACATTTTTGCTTATCCAACAGTTTGTTGGATAAGCGAGACTCTACTGTAGTTGTAATTGTTATATAATTTTAAAATAATTTTTCAAAAATAATTTAAATAATAATAAAAACGAAAAGGTAACAAGGGACAATTTCCTCCTTGTGCCTCCCATGAACATGTTTGGGGAGTGAATGAAATGGTGTCCAAGCGCTTGGCTGTCACTTATGAGGACAGAGAAACCACTCTCACAGAGCTGCTGGAAGCCAAGCCCTTAGGTAACTGCAGCATCCTTGGCCTCTCCCATCCCTGCACTCCCGCTTCTCCCCTCCCAAACCATTTTTGAATCAGAGCTCTAGGACCTCCTCTCCTCTGCATGCTTACATACAGATCCCCTCCCACGTGCACACATGCACACATGGGCGCACACACACATACACACACAACATAGGCCTCCCAGCCATTCAACATTACCTCACAGCCCTCCCCTTCCTCCCAGGCAGCAGAGTAAGTCACAGCCCACTCATGTTGGGATGGGATCCAGATGTTGGCCAGCTGCCACGGGGCCATTTTTCCCTTTTTTGGAGAAGAACTCCACTGACGGCAGGGGAGGGAAGGAGGGAAGGAGAGGGCAGCCTCCCAGAGGCACCAAGGGTTTGGGAAATGGGGAGGGAGAAAGGGGGGGGGGGGTTGCGTTTCAGCAAAAAAAAAAAAAACCCTCCCAAAACCCAGACAAACCCATAAATCTTCTCTTCCTTCCCTCGCAATTTTGTGACAGTGTGAACCAATCCACTGGAAATAAAGAGAACACTTCCCACCACCAACAGTAGAGAAACGGTTCATTGGTCAAACAAACAGGCAAAAAAAGCTGCTGTGTAAGTGGGGGGGGGGGGGCCTTCACAGCACCAAGGAAAATGGTCATTAGAAGGGAGCCCTTTGCAGGAGATTCAAGCTTTCCTCTCTACATCTCTGCCTCTGGGAGGCAGAGAGGCTAAAGCCCCAGAGCATAACAGTGGTGTGTTGTCTACAAAAGGCATGTCCTGCTTTTCTGGGCCCATCCTCCCACTTTGAACCAGGGAAGAGAAACACAAATGTCTGTTCACTTACTATGGAGAAAAGCCCACGAGCAGGCAAAAGTGTCAGAAGCCCTATTGGGCTCAGAAAGGTACAAGTGGGGTGAAATGGAAAAGACTGGTATTTGGGGTACAGCTTTCTCAGAGGGTAACTTGCAGGCTCCAGGTGATGCGGAGAACCCCATGCCCAACTTGAAAAGTGAAGAATCACAGTGGGTCATTAATGTTGTTTATTATACAAAGCCAGAAAGGACACACACACACTTTTCTTCTTGCTTTCTCTCTCGCTCCTTCACGCATACACAGACTGCACAGAAGCATATAAAAGGGGGAGGAGAAAAAAGAGAGAGGCGGAGAGAGACTCCCCCATGTATAGGTTTCGCAAGAAGCCACATGCATAACATTCTGCCCAGGAAGAAAGGCTGCTGTGAACATCCAGGGCAAAGAGACAGGACCTGGAGCAGGAAAGGCACAGGTGGCCCTGGGGCAAAGGGGCCCCTCCCACTTGTGGAGGAGAGACCCAGCTCCGAGGGACGGGTGGGAGGGGGCTGCTGCTCCAGGAGGGCTTTGGCACACTGAGGGGCGGCTCAGCCGGGGCCTTTCAGAGGCTGGTGGCACAGTCGCGGCACAGGACCTGGTCGTTCTCGGGGATGAAGCCCTTGCCCACCAGGGAGGTGGCACAGCGGGAGCAGCTGAAGCAGTGCTGGTGCCAGTGGCGCTCCTCAAAGGAGACGTACTTGCCCCCACCGAAGCCTGGAAGGAGAGCAACAGAGAAAGGATGAGGATACAGTTCCCTCCGCACAAGAGAGCTGACCCACTCTCTGTCCCAAGGACCCCCTGGGCTTTGGTTGCCCAGCCTTCTCCTGCCGCTCACCAGTAATGGGCTTGGTGCATCCGCTGCACTTCTTGGCATAGAGGCTTCCGAAGCATTTGAGGCAGTAGGGCTGCTCTTCCTGGGAGGTGAACTGCTGCCCGGCTAGAGGGGCCCGGCACCCGGTGCACACAAAGCACTCCTTGTGCCAGGGCTCGTCCCGGTAGGTCACCCCGCCCTTGGTCAGCGACTGTGGGAATGGGGGAAAGGTTAGTGATGCTACTGCCAGCAGGGCCTCCCCTTCCCTCTGCCTGAAGGGCTAAGAGGCCTTTGTCTCCTTGCCCTTTCTCCGCTGCCCCTCCCCCTCACATATGATACCCCACCTTCTTGCAGCTGGTGCAGCGGGGAGCAAACTTGCTCTCATAGCAGGGGACGCAGTAGTAGTCCTTCTGGTCAGGGATGAAAGACCGGGACCCGATGGGTTGCTGACAGCTACTGCAGAGGAAGCAGTGCTCGTGCCACGTCTGACCGCCGTACTCCAGCTTCCGAGAGCCTGTAGGATGGAGGGAGACCATGAAGGGGGTGGGTGGCCAAGGCCTACTGGGGTCTTTCCTCTTCCAAACACTGTGAGGTGGGCATGAGTCCGCTTGTATTGGGGGGAGTGAGGGGGGTCCCACCTGGCATGACCACCTGCTGGCAGGCAACACACTGGGAGGAGAACTCGCGGCAGTAGCAGGCATTGCAGAGCAGCTCCTCAGCCTGGCAGGTGAAGGGCTCCTCGGCCAGGGAGCAGCCACACCGGAAGCACCGGAAGCAGCCCTCGTGGTAGTGCCGGTCCTCATAGTACAGCTCCTGGGGGGAGAGCATCGGGGGAGGGAGGGAGGCATGGCGGGAGGTCAGGGACTGGCTGCTGCTACCCTCTCCCCGCCCCACACTCTGGAACCATCAGCCTGGATTGCAGCACCAGTTGATGCACACTGAGAGACAGTAGGGGCAGAGGACTGTGGTCCTGACGCAGTGTCTTGAGGGAAGGGAGCTCAGAGAGAAAAAGGACGTTGCTGTGCAGCCTGGCCCATGCCTCCACTAAGCCACAATGCTTTTGGGGCCGGGGGCTTTTGGGGCCGGCCAGCCATCCAGCCAGAGGGCCACAGTCCCCCCCCCCCCCCGGAGCAGTGGTTCTCAACCTTTTTTTTGACCAGGCACCACATGACCAGGGACCACTTTACTAGGGACCACTCTCCAACATTAGTTCCAAAAGGATTATGAATCAGTTTTACATCAACTTTAGATTCAGTTTGGTTATTTGGGGTGCTGATTCAGAAAATTGCATTGGATAGACCACATCAGCTCTAGTTTCTGAAACAGAACATTTGCCATCCAGTAATCGCCATCATGCTTGCCCACAGAAAACCATATTTAAAAATCTAGAGTTGATGTGGTAGTTGTAATCTTTTGTGAGTAGTCAGCCTCTCCCCTCCCAACATCTCCGTTGCCTAGGCACTATAAGAGGGTTCCACGAGACCAGTTGCTCTAGTTGCCACGTGGTTTTGAGGCAACGGTACAGTAATCGTGAGGCTGCGGACCATATTTTCATTCTTGCAGACCACTGGTGATCCATGGGTTGGGAACCACTGCCCTGGAGGGAGAGTTGGGCTAGGCATCTACCATGCAGAGGAAAGAGGACAGCATTGCCCATCCCACCCTCCCCATCCATATATATGTGTATGTATGTGTGTCCCTGTCTGGCTCACCCGGCTGTCATGGCCAATGAGCTCCTTGCACTCATCGCAGGTGTTGGCGAAGTGGGCGTCGTAGCAGGGGATGCAGAAGGGGCCCTCCTCCGCCTGGATGTACTTGCGCCCGTAAAGGGACTCCTTGCAGCCGGCGCAGTCAAAGCCCTCTGTCATCCTGGCGTCTTCTCTGGAAGGAAAGAAGGGAAGAACGGGGGACCTCAGTGTCATGGACTCATGGGCAGGATCAGTCTCAGCTCCCGGCCAAAGGGACACACATGCACCCATGCACACAAGGCGCTGGGAGTGACTGCAGGGAAAGAGGGCATTGTTTCCAGAGGCCCACTAAACCAAAGTTTTGTTTTGTTTTTTTTCATGTCAGGAGCGACTTGAGAAACTGCAAGTCGCTTCTGGTGTGAGAGAATTGGCTGTCTGCAAGGACGTTGCCCAGGGGACGTCTGGATGTTTTGATGTTTTACCATCCTTGTGGGAGGCTTCTCTCATGTCCCCGTATGGAGAGTTGGAACTGACAGAAGGAGCTCACCCACGCTCTCCCTGGATTTGAACCTGCGATCTGTTGGTCTTTTATCCTGCTGGCACAAGGGTTTAACCCACTGCGCCATTTCAGTGAAATTGTATAACTGTGAATGTTCTAAGACTGAATTTTTGAGAAAGTTAAAAAGGAAGATTGAAGCTCACTCTGCCAGCCTCTGCTAGACAAAACAGAGCGCGGCAGGAGCCTTAGATAGGCAACTGAAAAAGGTGAAAGTAGGTAAAAGGATTCAAAGGGGCTTTATGACCTGAAGGGAAGGGAGGGGGAGAGCAGGAAGAGGGGAAGAGAGGGGGAAGTTGTTGTGGGTAAGAGGCTGTGAAGCCAAGAGAAGTGTGAATGAGGAAAAGGCTTACACACACATGTTTTCGAAAGTTTAAGAAACCTCTTAAAGTTAAAAGGGCTAAGTTGCAGTTCAGCCCTGTGGCACATTTTTTTTTCTTTGCTGGTCATGCTCAGTTTTGCTCTGGCCAGAAATAAAGCTGTAGTTTGGATCTCCTGTCTCTAGTGTCACTCTAGGGACTTACCAAGCCCCAGCACCATCCCACAGCCCTCCTTAGGTTCAGGGACAGGGACCTATGTCTCATGGTCTCCCCTTGCAAGGGCAGCATACCATGCCTGCGGGGAGGGGAAGAGGGCCTCCTACACTCCTTTGCAATCAGAGGATGGGGGGCGGGGTGGTTTCAGGCTCAGTGAGGGGGGCCCTTCAGCTCTGGGCAGATGAGCAACAAAGGGGCCAAAGCCCAGCGCAGCCCCCCCCCCTCCCTTTTCCCTTCCTCTTCCCTTCCTGCAGCTGCGGCAAGACCGGACCCGCCGTCCTGGGGTGGACTGGAGACGCAAGGGAGCTGCCTCTGCCCTCGTGATGCCTTCCAGGAAATTCCAACCTTTCAAGCCTTTCTGAAGGGCGGTGGGTTGGTGTGAGGGGAGAGGCATGCAAGGCTTCTACACAGGGAAGGGGCCTGTGTCTGTCTTGCCCCCATCACTCCCCCCCCCCCAACTGGAGGTCTGAAGGGGGGAAAGCCCTCCTGGACTGGGAGCCCTGGGGACCCCTTTCCGGGATAATTGGGGGAAGAGGGAGCCACGGAGGCATCCAGACTCGTGCCCAGTTTGTGGGAGGCTCCCCAAATCAGGGAAATAGGTGCTTTGGGACCCCTTCGGGCTTCTCCTCCTCCAAATCCGGAGCGGCACCAGATGGCACCCACAAAAAAACCATCCCAGTCTTGTCCCTGTGGCATTCAAGCAGTAACTATAGCAATGCAATACTTGAGATCTCTTAAAGTGATGGACAAATGGACTGATTCTGGACCACAATTTTGAACTTGCGTGATTTCAATTGCTGTTTTAACAATTTATGTCTTACTAGCCAGCCCTGCCACGCGTTGCTGTGGCCTAGTCTGTGCATATGTGTTTTGTGTGTATATATATATTTGTGTATATGTGTATTTATGTGGTTATGTGCATACATTGTAATGCATTTTTTTTTATTTTTAGGGGTTTTAAAGTCTCTTCTGCTCTGTTTTAGTGATTTATGAGTGATAGTCACTTGTTGGCCTGATAGATGTATTGTGTCCAAATTTGGTGTCAATTCGCCCAGTGGTTTTTGAGTTATGTTAATCCCACAAACGAACATTACATTTTTATTTATATAGATTGCTCGTTTTAATTGTAATTGTTATCATTTGGAATCTGTTTGTTTTTTGGGCATCGAATTGTTGCCGGTTGTGAGGCCACCCTGAGTCCCCTTCATGGTGAAAAGAGCAGGGTGCAAGTATGGGGAATACATCAATAAACAATAAATGGAGGGACAAACGGATAGATGGATGGGCCATGCAATGGATCACTGACCCTGCCCCCCCACTTTTCTCCCTCTGTTCCTCTCCCAAGGGCTGCTCTGAGGCAAGGAGGGGGTCTTGAAGCCCTTTTTCACCCACCCACCCCATTGAACCAGAGTACAAAGTCAGATTCCCCTCCCTCTGCACAGCTGTCCAGATGAGCAAGAACTTTTGGGAAGGGGGCCTCCTCGCTCATCTGGGTCCAATCGCAGCCCCTCACTAGCCCTGTTGCAACTACACCTCCCACCCCACTTTGGGACCTGCTGACAGCCCTTGTGAAAGCACCTGGGCCCCAGGCCAGGCTGCGGGTGGCATTCTCAGGGCAGCACAAGAAGTAAAGGACTGTTCCTGGGAGGAATGTCCCTGGCGCAGGCAGCCATGGCCTCCGGAGCTACTACACATATCCCTCCCTGTTCCCTCCATCCTGGGCTGTGTCCAAAGGGTGTCACACTGAACAGCAGCTGTGGGGTGAGAAGAAAAAGGTAGAGACAGGCCCTGAGGGACACAATGATTTTGCATGCTCGATCCGAAGCCATGGGAGGCAGGGAGCCTTCTGCCAGCAGGCCTGGGATCTTTCTTTGCTGCCACAGGAAATGGGGAGAGGGTGGGTTGCAGGGAGCTCCGGCAGCAAGAGGCCAAGGGCCTGGAAAGGGCTGAGGGGCTTTAGAGCAGGCATGGGCAAACTTTGGCCCTCTCTCCAGGTGTTTTGGACTTCCTAACAGCCTCAGGCCCTTTCCTTTCCCCCCTCAGCCGCTTAAGCAGCTGAGGGGGGAAAGGACGGGACCTGAGGATATTAGGAATTGTGGGAATTGAAGTCCAAAACACCCAAAGGGCCAAAGTTTGCCCATACCTGTGATAGGTGGATAGAGGTAGGTAGAGAAGAATGAAGTCCAAAACATCTGGAGGGAGGGCCAAAGTTTGCCCGTGCCTGGACAAGAAACTGAATTTAGGCTTTGGCTTATGCTCCAGAAACCCAGTGGACCCAGCAGAATTGGGGGATCAGACACACGGACGGTGAGCCTTCTTCCCCAGGACCTGAGAGGAGCACAAACAACACCCACAGATGCACAGTGGCTTCCTTGAAACTCTCAGTTTGCACCAACCACAACACAAACACACACAGGAAGGTATCAAGATCTCCTCTGCTGTGCACAGGATCTGAAAGCCAAGGTTTATAAACTGCCAGCATGCTTTCTGCAGAAACCCTACCTCTCCTTCAGCCATAGCAGGGAGGACAGGGGGCCCTATGCAGCCCAGAGAAGGAAGGGAGACCATTGAGCCTTATGGCTGCAAAGGACAGGTTCTTCCCTCTTTGGCTCCATGATTCCATGAAGCAGGGAAGGAGGCACAGCCAGGCTCTCCAATGGTCCAGATTTCTCTGCCCAACGACAACAACGTCCGAAGACATGCCGGTCTCCTGCCTTTTGAGCCTCCCGCTGGAAATCCCTGAGCCTCCAAGCTCCCACACAAGGCTCTTGGGCCAATCCCAATGGGCTGGCGTGCCTGGGATTCAACAGGGTCAAACCCGGATCAGTCCCATGTTTGGGCAGTTGGTGAGTCAAGCCCAGTCCCATCCCCAGAGGCCCTGGGATTGAGCAAGAGGGGCCTCTGGGGGAATCGCCTGGCCTCCCTCTGCTCTGTCTCTTGCTGCTGCTGCGGTTCAAGGAGAGAGACACCAGCAATTCCTTCCAGACCATTTCCTGCGTCAGGGAGCATTTTTGCAGGATGAGATCAACCTCCCTGGGGCTGCCAGGCGGCTCACCGCAAGAGGAGCAGCAGAGTAGGGGGAGGGCAGGCCATGGCCCCAGCAGCAGAAACAGCACCTCCACTGCAAGCAACTCCCCGGCCCCAAATTCTGAAAGGGAAGTCGGAAGGAAGGGACAAACTGTACTGCATGGAGTATAACACCCCCTCCCCCAATCCTGCACTCTTGTTTCTGCAAGCAAAAAGAAGTGTATTGGGGGAACATGGCACACAACGGCACATTCCTGCCTGCACAAGGGTCATTTTTTTTCCATGGCGTAATCTTTACAAAGGCAGGCTGAGCAATGCACCCAGTCACCAGCATCCATGTGGCTTTCCCCACAGAAAAGAACACTCAGCTGCACCTCACTCTGATTCCCTTAGGCCAGTGGTTCTCAACCTTCCTAATGCCGCGACCCCTTAATACAGTTCCTCATGTTGTGGTGACCCCCAATCATAAAATTATTTTCGGTGCTACTTCACAATTGTCATTTTGCTACTGTTATGAATCGTAATGTAAATATCTGATATGCAGGATGCATTTTCATTCAGTGACCAAATTTGGCACAAATACCCCATACACCCAAATCTGAATAACGGTGGGGTTGGGGTGGGTTGATTTTGTCATTTCAGAGTTGTAGTTGCTGGGATTTATAGTTCACCTACAATCAAAGAGTATTCTGAACTCCACCAATGATGGAATTGAACCAAACTTGGCACACAGAACTCCCACGACCAACAGAAAGTACTGGAAGGTTTGGTGGGCTTTGACCTTGAATCTGGGAGTTGTAGTTCACCTACATCCAGAAAGCACTGTGGACTCAAACAATGGTGGATCTGGACCAAACTTGGCACGAAACCTCAATATGCCTAAATGTGAACACTGGTGGAGTTTGGAGAAAATAGACCTTGACATTTGGGAGTTGTAGTTACTGGGATTTATAAAGGTAAAGGTTTCCCCTGACATTAAGTACAATGGTGTCCTACTCTTGGGGGGGGGGGGGTTCGTCTCCATTTCTAAGCAGAAGAGCCAGTGTAGTTTGTAAATGCCTCCAAGGTCATGTGGCCAACATGACTGCATGGAGCGCTGTTACCTTCCCGCTGGAGCAGGATTTATAATTCATCTACAATCAAATAGCATTCTAAACCACAACAATGAGAGAATTGAGCCAAACTTCACACACAGAATCCCTATGAACAACAGAAAATACTAAAAATCCCAGGTTGAGAAACACTGCCTTAGGCACATTTTTCCCCCTGAAACTCCTGGTCCACAAAACAAAAAGGGTTAGAGGAGTGGGCAAGGCAGCGGCAGCATCAAGAAGGGAGGGCAGTGACCCCCCCAGAAAGTCAGGAAGGGAAGCAGCCACAGCCAAGTGGGTATGGTGATGGAGGGCATTTATGAGAAACCTCTCTCCACTCCTTCATTTCCAAGTTTTGCACCCTCTTCCTCCTCTTCCTCCAGATACTGCTGCTCTGAAGTGAAGTGGCACCGAGGTGCGGGTTGCAAAGGCTGAAGGCCAAGCAAAGGAAGAGGGATCATAACCCCCCCCCCCCCTACACACACTCACACACCCTGCAGACCTATTTTGGTCCCTGCACAATCCAAGCCCAAAAATGAACAGGACGATGGCATCCCACCAAGACAATGAGAGGGAAAGGGCAGCCAAGCACTTGCATGGCACAGCGCCTGGAGGGAGAAGTTGGGGGCAGTAGGCCAGCTGCCTGGGACATTATCTAGAAACCCCACCCCCCACCCCAAATGACAGACACGGCACACCAGGGGGACCCCCGGCTGAGGAGCCTCTAATCCGGGAGAGTATTTTTAGGCCAGAAATGCCACACATTCATCGGGGTCCCAGTGAGCTCCCAGCAGCTGCTGCTGCCCTTTACCAAAGAGGGACACAGACAAGGAGGGGGGAGGTTCATTGCCCCCCAGAGGCAGCAGGGACAGCGCTGTCAACAGGGAAGGGGCCCTTTGCCCTCCTCCTCCTCCCTGCCGCCTGCATTACTTTGACACCAAGAACCCTCTCCTCCCTTCAAGCCGGATTTGGGTGGGTGGCCCGCCTTGAACTAATTGACACAGTCATGAAGATCCTGGACTGCAATTCCCAGCCACCCCAGGCACTGGTGAGGAATGTTGGAAGGTGCAACCCAACCGCATATGGAAGACCACAAGACAGGCATCCATCTGCAACCCCTTGCAAAGGAAAGAGGTGGAGATGCAATAATATAATATAATATAATATAATATAATATAATATAATGCAATACAATATAATACTAAGAATACAACATAATAATTGTATATTATATATTACATGTAGCATTACGAATCATATTGTGGTGTAGTACAATATAATAATATATAATACTAATATTGTGCTATACTAATTATATATTGTATGTACATATAACTTGTAAGCCACTCTGAGTCATAAATAAATAAACAAATAAGAAAGAAACCCATGCTCAGCAACCATGTGGTGAACTGCTGAGAACCCATGGCATTTAGGAAAAATGGGAGCAAGGGGTCTACAGAGGAAGGAAAATCCCCAGAACAGGGCCTGACCTCTCTCCTTCCCCCCCCCCCCAAGTGGCCAAGCTCCCTGGGTGTTTATGGGGTTGTGAAAGAGCCTTCTGTGGTCAGGAAGTCCTGCAGCAGGTCGGAGGGCAAGGGACTGAGCTCAAGGCCAGACAGTGCAAGCAAGGCAAAGCAAATGACGCTCCCAAAAGAAAGTGAAGCAGGCTCTAGCTGCAAACTTCACACACACACACACCTAAAGACCCCAGTACGGCCCCTTTGGAGGCTCCCGGCCACGTCAGGATCAGAAAGGGTCCCCTAGTGACATTTAACACTCAGGGATTGGGGGATGTCCCTGGAATGCACGTCATCAGAAGAAACCTTTGATTTTAAGTCATGTCCCACATGTTCCTCAGAGCCTCTCCACCAACTGCACAATTTCTCCCCCTGCTTTCAGGCTGAGCCCTTGCACTGAACACAAGCCAAAGGCTCGGACCCCAGCATTGGGTGGGGGTGACACATAGGCTTCCAGTCCCTTTGAGAGTGGAGCCAGAAGACTGTGCCACCCATCTGCTGCACTGCTTCTCGGCCTCCAGAGCCATTCCAGCTCAGTTATCGTTGTGATCTTTATTAGTTCCTGTTTGCTTTGGCTTGGCACTTATACCAAGAGGAAAAATTGGACTGATCAGGAAGGAAGGCAAGCCGGATGGCATCTGTTCTCAGTGTGAGAGAAGGGGGGAAACAGCTGCTCACTTGGCTCTGGGGCTCTGCCAACCCTGCAAAGGCCGTGCATGACAGGGACGGGTGCCAGGCTCGTTCCACAGGTCTCCTTTCCAGGGGTTTGCATGGCTCCCCTGATCCCTGAGGCAAAGGGGGAGCCAAAGCTAGGAGAATCTTTGGTGGAGTGGTGCCCAAGGGGGCCCTTGGCCTTTGAAAGGGTTTGGCCCCACAGGAGGAGAAGCGGAGGAGGAGGAAAGCAAGAGGCTGAGCTCAGTGATCCCAGGCATACCTTGCAGGGATCCTGGGGTCTGGGTGGGAGGCATCCAGAGAAGAGAGGAGGGTCCTTGCAAAGGTCAATAAGGCCACAGTTCAGTCCTCTGTGATGGCAAAGCCCACCTGTGCCCCCCCCTTGCCTTGGCAAAAAGAACTTCATCTAGACATCCTCAAAGGTGGAGGTTGTGGACCTTCACGCTTGGCTTCTCCACCACGCATTCTGCCCGCTTTGCTAGGGTGAACTCTAGTGCCCCCCACTGAGTGCCCACACAGCCCCTGCCCGAAATGAATGGCCCTGAAGGCTCACGTACTCCTCCAGTGAGGCACCTTCATTCTCTTTCCCATATTTGTGGGAAGACCAGGCAAAGACTTATTATAGTAAGTATTATACTACATTATACTATGTAACAAAAGTTGAAAAATATTCTGTTCCTGGTTTGAAAGTGTTATTTCCTGTTTTAACTGTGAGGTCCTTATTTCAAAAGTAGTTGTTCTACTCCAGAAACTTCGTTTTTGTGGCTGCCACAAACTAGGTTGAATTGGTTGAGACTACTGAAAAACTAGAGCAAAATATGCTGCAGGATGTCCCACAAAAACAAAGTTTTTGCAGTGTAATAAACTTGTTTTTATGATAGAACCAATTAGGAAATGACATTTATTAGAATCCAGGAACAAAAACTTGTGTTGCATAGTGCTATTAGCAGGGGAAAAGCCCCCCATAAGCACACACAGCCTCCATACTCCCTCCTCTGCCTCTGAGGAAGCCTTGCAAGCCACAGCCCCAAATATGCCGCCCAAGGCAGCAAAGCGTGGCTTTGGCAGCGAGATGAGCATCAGCCACCGGGCACAGAGCCAGGCCGGCACCTTCGCCGAAAGAGGGAGAGGCTGGCACTGTTCCAAAGAGATCAGTCGGGCGGGATGCCGTCCGTCTGGGTAAGACAACGGGTGCCAAAGCAAAGGGAGGCAGCCGTAACAAGGGGAACCACAGAGGACAGGCTCCAGCAAGGAATCCCTGGGTTTGCAAGGCCCCAGTGCTTCCGGACGGGTCTGAGGAGCTCTTGGGAACACCAGGAGTCACTGGGGAGGAAGAGGAAGAGGCAAAGCAGAGGGGCCAGGTCTGGCCCTTGCCCCTTTGCAGTGCCAAGGAGGCTTCCTTCCTCTGTT